AGCAATTTCAAATTCCCATAATTTAAATAGATTCAGAGCAACTATGTTGTATATTTTGCGATGGATGAATGGGCTGTAGTAAACGAGTATCGACACACGTAAAACTAACGAAAATGACTTGCAAAATCCACTTTCAGATCACTGATTCGTCAACTTTTCCCAGAGCCAGAAGGAGTTCGAATCACATTTTTCGATGAGCGACTAGATACATATGTTTATAGGTTGAAAAAAAATCGAAATTCGTTTTTATTTTTAAAATATTTTAGTCCCGTTGATGACTCTTTGCACAAATTGCCACCAGTTGGATCGACTGTACACGTAAATTTCATTTAGAAATCTTTTTTTTTTCTTCTTTTTCTTCTTTACTTTTTAAGTTGTACTTATTAAGTGTAAGTTTCTTCTTCTTCTGAAATCAAAAATCTATTTCAAATAGGGTTTTTTTTTCAGTATAAAGCTGCTTTGTGGGAGACTTTTACGATTGATCGAGACACTTTCGTTGTCTACGATCATCAAAATCTTTACGTCTTTTTATTGGCGAAAAATCAAATTGATGGTAGGAATATTAGAAAATTTAATTAGATTTAATAATTAAATATTTTATAGATATTAAATATGAAATATTCAAATAGATAAGTTTTATTTTAGGTGAAGGGATCTTGTTTATCGGCAGCACAAAGCTCCCATTTGGACACACTCCGCTAATGTTAAGTAAAGTTGGTGATTAAAAAAAATCAAAGAGATTTATAGTATACCGTATTTTCTCTAATAGTAGTGCATCCAAAGCTTTGCCTAAATTCCTCGAAATCTCGAAAAGCGCTTATCAGAACCTATCGATGTGGGGTCGGAAAATGTAGCTGACGATGAGATCTAGTGGGGGATTTGAGTGTTGAGCTTCTGCAAAAGCTTGGAAACCGTAAAATAGGCATCAACTCGGCTCGGCTCGGTGCACTACTATTAGAGAAAATACGGTATTATCATTTATCTGAATATCTTTAAACAATAAACATTTCAATCATTTCAAATCGATATTCAGGGAATCGTTCACTGTTTAACGCCGTCTGGTCGACCGTCCGGTGTTCTCCTTGAAACTCACAAAACTGACACTGTTCTCGATGGAAAAACCCCGGAAACAGTTACGAATTTTTGCCTCGAAAACTCTTTATCAAATAATTTTCAGATTCAGCAATTGTTACAACAAGCTTTACGACTAAAAAGGTGAATTTAAATTGCGCATAAGAGCTTTCTACTCGTATTCATAGGCAACAAAGGGCAAATAGATGAGAGAAATGAGAATAGCAACTGTACATAAAATTGTGCAAAATGAGTGACAAAGTTCTCAGAAATTAGATTCAACGGAATTATTGAAAAGGATCATTCCAAGCTAGGGATAAATCTAAATGATTTTGATTTTGGTTTTGGTTTTGATTTGGTCGATTGTTTGGAGAGGAGATGTCAATGGGGACAAGAGCGGGAGTGGTTGAACTGAGTGGGGGAGGATTGTTTGAAGACATTGTCATCACTGGAAGCGCTACTCGATTTTCTGGGCTTGTTGTTGTGGTTGCTGGGGTGTTGACGGGGCGACTCACTAAAATTCTAGCCTTTTTTGGTGGGTGTTGAAGCATTGAAAGATTTGGTAGAATGAACGGCCTTTTAGTTAAGTATAAGAGCCTTCTCAGGCGGCGACGTCCCGTGTCTGTGTGGCTCATTGGTAGAGTGCTAGCCCGGTAAGCGTCGAGAGGTCGCGGGTTCGAGTCCCGGTGTCGAGTCTCCAGAAAAGGAGCGACCTGTCCAACTTTAGCAATCCACTGTTTTTGGTAGAAAATGCTCTACAGATATTTTGATAGATCTATTTATAGTAAACTGCAGGGTTTACCCGAGAAAACTGTAAAATTATTATTATACGATAGCTCTAGCAGAGTTTTTTCCGCAATTACAGCAATTCATAAACGGCTGAATATCTTTCAAATCAGCTTCTTCTTAAAGTTTTCTAATGTATGACTTTAAAAACAAGATTGATATTGTTAAGTCTTGCTAATCTACTGTAAAACTAAGCAACTAATACTCAGGATATCAGAAAATCAATCAATTTCTCACCTGGATTTGAATTTCCATTGTTTATCGCATATGAATAAGATTCCATTCCAATATCTTGAGTGCGTGGGCGTCCTAAGAAAATTTTAAAGTTGAAAATGATAGTGCAAGCATCAGAAAAATTAGATCATTGAAGCCCCTTCGTTCAACAAAATGATTCGTAGTCATTGAGCATGAGAGAAAAGAGTGCTGGAGTATTGAGCTCCAGCATTAGACTGGAGTATTGAGCTCCAGCATTAGACTGGAGCATTGAGCTCCAGCATTAGACTGGAGTATTGAGCTCCAGCATTAGACTTGAGCATTGAGCTCCAGCAATCTTTTCTCTCATCGCTACAGATTCGTTAATTAGTTTGATAATAAGCTAATTAAATATCCTTAAAACCTACAGTATCCTTTTTTTGCAGTATACAGTAGACAGTAAAGCTACAGTATACAGTATCCTGTTAATCCCGAAAAATTGTACTCACTATAGCTATCGATATTGTCTCCTCGACCCGTTGTGTTGTCGTAGTAAGCGGACTAAAATTTTGATTTTCATATAGCAAGTCGGAAATCGCATGCTTTATAACAATAATATCTTTAGATATGATTTTATTTTAATAATTTCCTTTTCATAAAACCCTACCGATGGATAACTTCCACCAAAGTTCCTTCTCGGTTGAATGCAAAACTTGAACACCAGAAAAGCCACCAAACCGACGATGATCAGAGCCTGAATTACTCTTCCTGAGCCTGGTTTAAATGTAACTTAAACTATTATAGGTAGAAATTTAAAAAGATTGACTTTTATTTGATAGTTTACCTCAATAACCGCAAAAGCCACCGCTCCTGCATGCGAATCACACTTTTTCTCATCTTTCTTCGCGTCGGGTGCTTTTGGGAAAAAAGCATAGCGGACAGCTAGTGGATCTAGAGTTTTATCAATTTCATTTCGAGATTTGTGTTTCGTTTAAGCCAGCTCAAAAGAAATATATTTTGTTCAAATTTAAAACTCACTTTTTAGAGTGGCTGGGGTGCTTGAGATAGTTGTTGTCGGCGTAGTTGTTGCAGTTGTTGTCGGCGTAGTTGTTCCAGGTGTTGTAATAATTATTGAAGTTGATAGTGCATTAGTTGTTGTAGCAGTTGTTGGAGTAGTTGTTGTAGTGGGCGTTGTGGAACCCATTGGCGCAATGTTTGCTAAAATTTGGATAGAATCGCACTTCTAAACATTTAGTACTTGAAAATGAAACATTGAAAGATGAATCGCTCTGGAATATCAAAATGGAGGTAGCTTCGCACTCTTTGGTGGTGTTGTCAATTTTCCAGCTGGCTTCGAAATTCACTGGCGTGGCATCGAAACGAATCTCCTAAAGCTGTTGAGTCTGTGTGGGAAAAAAAATCTTATTTGTAGCAGGATACGTGTGTCATTTGCATTTCAGGTTACCAATGGTTGTGTTATGAAAAAAGTTTGAGTGTTAGATTTGGGAAAATTCACAAGCGGCTCATTTTATACTAGAAAATCGGTATCATAGTGATTTATCGAATAATAACCAACTAAATTCCTTAGTTAGTTTCAGTAAATAACTACAATTTACTTGAAAGAACCTTTTGTGCAATGAATTTGATTTTCTTCGCATCCACTTCGACATCAAAGTCTTCAGTCTTGAGCGTCTTATCCGTAGAAGTACCCTGACTAAGAATCACAGAAGGAGTGGATTTTTGGGAAAGATCAACAGCACACTCATCATCATCGATCGACAGAGTCAAATCAAATATCACCGTCTCTTGAGCTTTTGACAGCCCTAAGACAATGGCAATCACCGCCAATAACAGACACCGCATCTCTAGAAATTCTTCAATGTTTAGGCAGAAAGTTTACAAAAGTTATTGAAAGATACAAGCTGATATTAGATTGGATAAAAGCTGAGCCAGGATTACGGTAAAAAAGGGTTACAATTTAGAAAATCCCAGAAGGAGCGGTTCTTCACAAGTCATTTGAGTAAGATACACTACTGCACAACGAAATATCGTATTTGAAAAAAGATCGTCACTTTCGCGCGTCTGTAACTTCCTTGTCTTTACCGTATTTCTAAATATTAACATTACCATTGTGTAGCCCTTGAAAAGAGCTTTCAGAAAATGTATAACACTAATAGTTTAAACTCAAAGACAAGGGAGTTACAGATGCGCGAAAGTGACGATCTTTTTTCTAATATGATATTTCATTGTCCAGTAGTGTAGATATGAAATAGACAAAATAGATCGACAGTACTTTTAACCATAAAATAATCATCTTTTTTTCTAACTTACAAGAATATATAACAGTATTGCAAATCCATAAAAACAACGCTGTAATTTTAGATGGACATATGCTTGGCGAATCTGTGAGCACACACGAGATGTCAACAATTGGAACAAATTCGCTCGATCAGCTATGCAAAATGTGAACGTTGATTTGGGTATGATTTTTAAAAGAAACTTTAAAATTTCAATCAGAAATTAATTGCTTTTGAGTAAATTCAGCTGCTTTTCATTGAAAAAGACAATAAGTTCACTACACAGAAAAGTTAGATATATTAGTTAGATAGAAGTTAGATATATTAGTTAGAAAGTTAGATATATATGTCGTAGCCGTTCACGAAATTCAGCTGCTAACGAATGATTCGTTAACGGCTAGCCGTTAGCGAATGAAATTTTTCGCTAGCCGTTTACGAATCATTCATAATCGGCTAGCCGCTAACGAATGATTCGTAAACGGCTAGCCGCTTTATGTTTACGAAATTTAGCCGTTTACGAAATTCAACTGTTAACGAATGTTTCATAATCGGCTAGCCGTTAACGAATCATTCGTTAACGGCTAGCCGATTATGAAACATTCGTTAACGGCGCATCATTCGTTAACGGCGCATCATTCGTTAACGGCGAATCATTCGTTAACGGCTAGCCGACTACGAATCATTCGTTAACAGCTGAATTTCGTAAACGGCTACGATACTATACTTTTAATGAATAAATGAACGAGCAAAATTTGCACAGAATAGAAAAGAGAATAAAGAAATTTAAAGCGAAAATTGAAATTGGAATGACAAATTATCTAGCTTCACGAAAGAAATTTCAATACAAAAAATAGCAATGATTGTCCTGGACAAGAAATTGATTGTTTAAAAACGAGAAGAGAACATAAATTTCTAGTGCTAATTGCTAGGGGATATATAGAAATTTCACAATTTAATCTGAGCCTTTTTATATAAAAATGAAATTTGATCTGTTTAATGTAGAATTTTGTGCTCTCTTGACCAAAAATCTTTTATAAGTTTCGAAAGAAATCAAAAGAAATTTATGAGAGCTGTAAAAACCATGAAAATTCTAATTTTAACGCTTTTACCTAGAAATTCTAATAAATCAAAGCTTTAAAAAAACCAAAAAGACTTTTTCGTTTTATGTTTTAAAGAAGGGGAAAAAAATGATGTTGCTTTTCAAGGAGACAAAATAAAATTATCTTTGATCAAAACGATTTTATGAAAGTTCATGAAAGAGGATTGTTTAATGTTTAAAATTTGGATTTGGATTTGGATTTGGATTTGGATTTGGATTTGAATTTGAATCTGAATTCCGTTTATTAAAAAGTTTTTGGTAATAAGCTAGTCAAAAACTTCTTTAATAAAAAAAATCAACGCGATTTTACGAAAATTCTGAAACTTTAGAAGAAAAATGAGCTGAAATTCAAGAGAAAAAGAAGAAAAATGAAAGAAAAGAAAAGTCATGTTTGCTAAAATTCAATCAATTCTATCAATTCAATCAATTCAATCAATTCAATCAATTCTATCAATCGAAAATCACAAAAATAACCCCGATTTCACCACCTTTCACCACATCAATCAGAAATTTAAAAATAAGAGGGAAATTTCGGAACCTCTTCATTTCAAAGGTGATGTGTCCTTATTGAAAAAAGGCCTTCTTCAATTGAACTTCAATTCTTATCAACTTCTTTAGTTTTCCCCTCTTTTCCTCTTTTCCTCTTTTCCTCTTCTGAATACCGACACTTTGATGAATAAGCATTCAGCTCTGAAATCGATTCTTTTATTGAAAAGATTCAAACAATTTGGCAAAAGGTTTCACCAGAAAGGGAAACCAAAAAACAGCAACATTACTTGACATTGGAAACACAATTTGTTTTGAGAAATTTATCACATTTAGCGGTTCGAATCTTTCGCCATATCGGCGAGGTTTCGATGGTTTGGGCACTCGATGAGGTCAATGATATGGAGGTAATAGACAGTAATTACCTCATCAAACTTTTAGCAAAACTCAGGAACTATTGAACTAATGAACTAATGACTGACATTGTAAAAGGAAGAAATTCAGGAGAAAACGCTAGTGGCTGGGCATTTAGCCCTTTTGATTGAGGACTTCGATGCGGCAGAGAAAAACTTTTTGAACAGTTCGCAACCGTTGGAAGCACTGGATGTGAGTGTAAAAGGGTTTTTTTCCCAGACAAGCAGTGATAACAACAACTTTTTCTTAAGCTTAGAAAAGAAAAGAAGAAGAGAAAAGGAAAAAGACGAGAGACCATTCGGTAAGAGTTAGTCAAGAAGAATGACAATTGAAGATTGAAAACGGAAATAGTTTTGTTGACTTTGAACTAGAGTTCGGTGTGAACTTGATACAAGTGTACGTATTTAAAAACTACATGAAATCTTTTTCATCTACAAATCAAATACTATAATAGAACGCCATCTTCTCGTACAGCCGCGTAGTCTAACTTCTTTTTAGAAAATCATTTTTTTTCTCACCTCCTAGACTTTTTTCCAACTACACTTTTAGTACGAAAAAATACTAGATTTCAAGGGCTATCATTTGACACTCAAGCGGAAACTGTCGCTTAAAGCAGTGCGGAGATAAGGACGTTCAAAGTTAGACTACGTCATTGTACCCCCGTCATTATGGGAGTACGTCATTCTACTAGAGTATCAGCAGCTTCGTTGCTACTTTACAACAACAACAAAAATTTTGGAGCAAAAAGCAAAAGAATCGGCGGCAAGAGGAATCGGAGCCGCGACCTATCTCTTCCGTTTTTTTGAGAGACGCGCGCGTTAACCACTCGGTCATGGTCTTTTAGATGGCACCTGCCTAGATTTCCACTAGATTTCCACTAGATTTCTCTATCCTATTTAAAGAAATCTTGGTTCTGGCACTGCGACCAAACGAGAATTGAATAGCTGTTGTGTGTCGCCGTTTCGTGAAGAATTTCAAGACATGTTTTGCTCACTTCAACCGTGGACTTTGGCCAACAAACTTTAAGTACTCGCACCGGCTCCAGCCGGGGGCGAATGATCGAGCAACGCACTGACCGAATTACGTAGTCTTTTGATTTTTTGTAGAGTCCTAATTGATAGTTTTGAAAGAAAATTTCACAACTTTTACCATTGCCGCTTCTTTATATTTCTTTAATTTTTTAAAAATCTTAAAAAGCTATGTATTTTTAGATTTTTATATGCTTAAGCCTGTATATTTATTGAATTTTCAGATGAGAAGAGATCTCCTGCATTGGCCAAAAGCGTTACAATTAGCGCAGAAATTCGCGAAAGATCAAATCCCATTCATTTCAAAGGAATACGCTCAACAATTGGAATTTATGTAAGAATAAACAATTCAATCTTTTTTTACAAGTAAAATCGAGTTTTTCCTTTTGCTTTTTTTGAATTTCAATGAATTTTAGGGGCGATTACTCAACAGCAATGCAGCATTATACAGACGGGATTCTGGATGAAGAGGAAACGGAAGAGGTAAAGAAAAGAACAAGAACAAGAAAAGAACAGAACAAGAAAATGTTTTTCCTTTGTTTTCTATCTAATTTCGACTTTGTTAACATTTCAGATCTTGGAGCACAACGATGTGTGTCGATCGGGTGTTGCGAGAATGGCCATTCGAATCGGCGACATTAGACGGTGAGGAAAGGGAAGAGATTTGATAGGTTAAGAATAGAAATCAATCAATCAATCAATAGAAATCAGATCCTTTAAAATTTATCTATCAATTTTGATTTGATGAGCTTTTCTAGCGGCATTCAACTCGCCTCAAAAATCGAGGGACGAGCGGTGAAAAAGGAGTGCGCAATGATTTTGGAGCAACTGAAGGCAAGTTTTACAGTTTTACATCTACATCTACACCTTCTACAGTACCCCTTAGTACCTATAGGATTAGAAAACTCAGTCTTCGATTCTCTACAACAGCTACAGTAACCTTTTACAAGAACTCTAGCGCTTCGATCATTAGGTTATCTTTTCTTTTACTTTTCTTTTTTACTTTTTCTTACGATCTAGAATAATCAAATCAAAGATAAACTAATCAAATTGAATTTAAAACAAAAAAAACAATCAAATCTAAACTAAACAAATGAAATCAAAAACGAAAAACAATCAAATCTAAAACCTTTAAACTATAGCAATTCAACGATGCTGTTCAAGTGTACGAGATTGGTCAATTCTACGATCGAGCCGCTGCAGCTGCACTTAAAGCAAAGAATTGGTTCGAAAAAAACGCCTTAAATGCCTAAAGATTTTTTTAGGTCAAAAGTCAACGAGTTGTTGCCAAAAGTTCGCTCTCCGAAAATCCATGCACAATATGGGAGAGTGATGGAAGGGGAAAAGAAATATAAAGAAGCGGCAATGGTAAAAGTTGTGAAATTTTCTTTCAAAACTATCAATTAGGCTTACAAAAATGCAAAAGACTACGATAATTTGGTGAGAGTGTTGCTCGATCATTTAAATCTGGCTGACGAGGCGGTGCGAGTCGTAAGGGAAAGTCGATCGGTTGAAGGAGCAAAACATGTCGCGAAATTCTTCACGAAACTCGGCGATCACACATCAGCTATTCAATTTCTCGTTTTGTCACAATGTCAACAAGTAAGATTTCTTTAAATAGGATAGAGAAATCTAGTGGAAATCTAGTGGAAATCTAGGCAGGTGCCATCTAAAAGACCATGACCGAGTGGTTAACGCGCGCGTCTCTGAAAAAAACGGAAGAGATAGGTCGCGGCTCCGATTCCTCTTGCCGCCGATTCTTTTGCTTTTTGCTCCAAAATTTTTGTTGTTGTTTTAAAGTAGCAACGAAGCTGCTGATACTCTAGTAGAATGACGTACTCCCATAATGACGGGGGTACAGTGACGTAGTCTAACTTTGAACGTCCTTATCTCCGCACTGCTTTAAGCGACAGTTTCCGCTTGAGTGTCAAATGATAGCCCTTGAAATCTAGTATTTTTTCGTACTAAAAGTATAGTTAGCATGGCGGTTCGTGTGGGCTAAAGGCAAGTGCGCTCGCACTATGCCATCTGAAAGGCCATGGCCGAGTGGTTAACGCGCGCGTCTCTCAAACAAACGGAGAAGATAGGTTGCGGGTTCGATTCCTCTTGCCGCCGATTCTTTTGCTTTTTGCTCCAAAATTTTTGTTGTTGTTGTAAAGTAGCAACGAAGCTGCTGATACTCTAGTAGAATGACGTACTCCCAAAAATCTAGCTTATAAAGCTTATAAAGCTTTTCAGGAAGCTTACTTACTTATAAAGCTTAGAATGACGTACTCCCAAAAATCTAGCTTATAAAGCTTTTCAGGAAGCTTACCAATTGGCTGAGCAAACAGGGAAGATGGAGGATTACGCGGAAGCGCTGGGAGATACAGCCACGATTGAACAAGTAAATTTGAAATAAATAATAATGTAATATAAAATAATGTAATATAAAATAATGTAAAATAAAATAATATATAAAGATTCATAGAGTAAATGTCAATTGAAAGATTCAGTATGCTCAAGTTGCTGAACATTTCGCTACCCAGGGTAGCACGCTTCTCGCCGGCATCTATCACTTCAAAGCTGGGCACTATTCAGTGGTGAGTTCTTTTATGAATTCAAATAAATAAGCAAATGGTCATCAATTTTCAGTCTATGGACTATTTATTGTCTCTTGGTGAGAATCATGAAGCATTGCGAACAGCAATCGAATGTGTCGCCGAAGCTGGAGATCAAGGACTCGTTCATCGACTCACGCAATTCCTTCTTGGCGAAACCGATCAAATACCAAAAGTATTGATTTAAAGAGATACAGTCGGACTTTCAAATTCGTTTTATTGAATTCTAAAACGTGCCCCAGCCAAATGCAAGCAGTGGCCGTCCAGGGTAGCTACGCAGAAAATTTGAGGCACGTTTTAGATTCGTTATATTGAAGTTTTCGGTTCCGAATGATTCGTTTTATTCGTTTTATATCGACGTTCTTTATAGGATACATTTGAGTAATAGTTTTAAGTAAAATATAATTTTTAGGATGCAAAATATCTCTTCCGAATGTATGTAGCTTTGAATATGACGAGAGAGGCTGCGCGAACAGCCGTTGTAATCGCTAGGTTTTTTTATGGCTATTTTGGAATTCAAAAAGAGTTTAGAGATGAGCAAAGTCGTGGAAATTATAAAGTGGCTCGAGATTTGCTTTACGCAATGTATCAAGTAAGACTTTTTCATTGTTAAAGGCAAAAAAAGCAAAGGAAACGATAGAAAGTCTATGAAAGAGAGTTGACAATTTGGCATTATTTCTAAAACTTATGCACTTTTAGGACCTGCAAGAGAAAAACATTGCCGTTCCATTGGAAATGCAGCAGAGTCTAATGCTCATTCATTCATATCTCATCGTGAAGGTTTGAAAGAAAAGTTTTTGGTTGATTCGATGATTGATTGATTGATTGATTGATTGGTTGGTTGATTTTTTTGATTAAAAAATGATTCTAGAATCTAATTCGACGCGATGAAACTCTTAAAGCAGCGAGAATGTTGATTCGAGTCGCACAAAATATTAGCCGATTCTCAACACGTGAGTCATTCGACGTTCGACGAAGACATTTACATTTCAGATTCGGTATCGATTCTCACATCTGCTGTCGTGATTTGCACAAAAGCTGGGCTAAAAGGTAACAAGTACTGTCGAGTTTGAAATTTGAAAGTTTAGTGTTTGAGAAAATGATTACAGGAAAATGAAGAGTACGTTGTGCATAAGTTTTAGAAATAGTGCCAAATTGCCAACTCTCTTTCATAGACTTGCTTTACGCAATGTATCAAGTAAGACTTTTTCATTGTTAAAGGCAAAATAGCAAAGGAAACGGTAGCAAAGGAAACCGTTTCCTTTGCTATTTTGCCTTTAACAATGAAAAAGTCTTACTTGATACATTGCGTAAAGCAAATCTCGAGCCACTTTATAATTTCCACGACTTTGCTCATCTCTAAACTCTTTTTGAATTCCAAAATAGCCACAAAAAAACCTAGCGATTACAACGGCTGTTCTTCACCAAGTTTACAGGAGCCGCTCACCGATACGCCGTTCAGTTGATGCAACCGGAGAATCGGAATCGAATCGATGCCAAGTATCGGAAGAAAATCGAGCAATTAGTCAGGTAGTCCGGCAATTATTTTATCATAAAAATGATAGTATTAATCATTTTGTAAATTTTTGATTACCGTATTTTCTCTAATAGTAGTGCACCCCGGCGAGCCGAGTCGGTGACGATTTTACGGTTTCCAAGCTTTTGCAGAAGCTCAACACTCTAATCCCCCACTAGATCTCATCGTCAGCTACATTTTCCGACCCCACATCGATTGGTTCTGATAAGCGGTTCTCGAGATTTCGAGCAATTTAGGCGACGCTCAGGGTGCACTACTATTAGAGAAAATACGGTATATTAGAAAAGCGGACAAACCATCGGATGGTGAGGAGCCGAAAGCGTCTTGTCCTTATTGCAAACATCCTGTCATTGAGACCGAGCTCATGTGTGCAATGTGCAAAAACACGATTCCCTATTGTGTGATTACGGTAAAATCTGTAAATTAGATTAAGTACAAAGTCTTTCACTCATTCATTCACAAATTCATTCTCTAATTGAAATACCAAACACGATGAATGAATGAATGATAACGATGAATGAAATAAAGCTAGCTATTAATGAAGTGAACTACTCGAGCTAATGAAATGAATAACTAAATACTCAAGCTATCAAATGAAATACGGTTTTTTTCATTAAATAGTCCAATCATTTCTCTTCCAAATGGTTTTTAAAAGTTTTTAAAAAGCTTTTTTTTTAAATTTTTTCATTAGCAAAAAGCGATTTGGATCATTTTTTGGATCATTTCTTTTAAAGAAATCTATTTTTATAATAAAGTCGAAAAGATAACGCATAAAAAGTTAGCTTTACAACGAAAATTTCAGAATAATTTGTTTAGCGGTTTTCTTCATGTGTTAATATTTCAATATTAATTCAATATTCAATATTTCAATATTATTCAATATTCAATATTTAAAAATCCCAGTTTTCATTCTTGCAGATTATTCTAAAATACTAAAAATTGTTTGGAAAAGAAAAAAAATTAAATGAAAAAGGTTTAAATAAAGATTTTGGGTTTGAAAATAAAGAAAAAATGAAAAAATTTCTAAAATTTCTTTTTAGGGTCGTCATGTTGTAGCTGAAGACTTTGCGGTTTGTGATGGCTGCAAATTTCCCGGGTACTTCACCGAGTTCAAGAGGTTTATAACGACAAGATAAATCTGAAAATCTGAAAATTCTATTCGAGTCAATCAAATCGTTATTTATTCATTTAGACTAGCAGCCATTGGCGAAACATGTCCAATGTGTGGTGGGAATTGTGGCCAAGTGATGCCCTCGGATTGGGAGACTTTCATCGCTAGTACTCGCACGAAAAAGGATGAACTTTAATGCTATTGAACAAAAATGCTATTGAACGGCTTTCTTCTGTTAAAATCTTTTTCTTCTCGTCAACTGTAATCTCTTTATGATTTTGAAATAAAAAAGAACAATCTTTAAGATTTGTTTGGCAAAACTGTGGATAATTTGAAAAATCACACAAATCAACTCTCAAGTACCAAATTTTAAGCTATATATTGACAAGATTGAGAATTTAAAAGCCGAACAGATAAATGAGAACTCTCGCTTATCACTATGTTTTTTTTCTACGCCTTTTTTTCTTGTTTTTCCCTCCACTCATGGAACTTTTGATGAAGCAGCAATTCGAATTCGTAAATAAGCACGTTTAAAGTCAATTTTATTTTTATTAACTTTTCATATGCCACAGAAAAGCTCTAGAAAAGGATAATAAGCAGAAGCACAGATTTGTCCATCCTATTATCCTTCATTATCGTTATCCTTTATTATATTGTAAAAAAAAATGAACCAATTGACCAAATCTATCATTTGAAAGCTGCGATCTCCTCTTCTCAGCAAATGAGTTTCCGAATTTATCTATAATAAAAGCTTAGATGATTCGAGTTCTTGGTAGAGACTCGAATTTGTCGCAGATTTGGGCATAGTGACCCGATAAAGGTAAGCTTCAGTCGCACACCGCTCCGTCGCATTGGTGCTTTCATTGCGAAAAAAGAAGCCCCTTAGGCCAGGGCGGTTTGCCAGTTTGCGAGCGATTACAATAAAATGAATAGCTTCAATTAATTCCCCAATCTCAAAAATCCCAAATTTACAGAAGAATTTCTTTTTATGATATCTACAAACAAAAGAGAAATCCTTATGTAAATGACTTGTGAGATGTTCTTTGTGTGGCAAATAATCGCTCGCAATCTGGCAAACCGCCCTGGCGTAAGGGCTTCCCTTTTCGTAATGAAACCACCAATGCGACGGACCGGTATGCGACTGAAGCTTACCTTTATCGGGTCACTATGCCCAAATGTGCGACAAATTCGAGCCCCCAATCCCACTACACCCCTGCGACAAATTCGAGCCCCAAATCCCACTACACCCTTGCCACAAATTCTACCCTCTATCAAACCGGCTCACTAAACAGTAACCAAATTGAGAGAACAATGTGCTCTTTTCACTTGTTTTTGTTTTTCCTTTTTCACTTAACTCCCTTAAGCCCGCGCCCAACCCGTAAAGATCCCGGTCCAAAAATATTCGCTATAACTTTAATTCATTATTTTGTAGATTCAGATTTCATAAAACAATTACTTAGTTCAATATAAGATTCGCTAAGGATTCAGCTAAATATTTCACTCGTTTTGCTACATCAGACATCATAAAAGATTCTTTTCATTTCATGAAACGTTTTGAAATCCTTTCCCCCGCGATCACATTTATCAAAATATTCGGAGATATAAACGAAAAATTGATTGTGTTTCAAATGGAAATTTCCGAGATCAAATACCGGCTTCAGCGCGTCCCATTCTTTTCCCGATCGCAATAAAAATTGCTTTTTGCGAAACTCGACAAGCAAACATATAAAGAGGGGAAAAACGAACGTAAATCTTTTTCAATGCTTCTCTTTTTTCCAGATCATGTTCGAAATTGTTGATTTTTGCTCAATTTGATTGATCGCATGCTTTTTCTTTTAACTAATTTGCGTCACTTTACGTCACTTTTAACTAATTTGCGTCACGTCACTAAAATTTAATGTAAAAAAAAAGCTTAAACTTACTAGGGAAAGGCACGAATTTCCCGGCAGCTTTCGTTTCCGGATCACATACATCTTACTAAATCGAGTATGAGATTCATAATCTGCAAACAAAATCTGCCAAATAAGCTTGCAACACGTAAAAATTTGAATTGAAATTTCGAAGAAGAGCATAGTGATAAAAGTGTGTTTTTTTTCAAATTACGACTTACGTCACGATGAGCAATGAACGGGTAAAAGCCTGTAAAGTATTACATTTAAAGAAATTAAATCAAAAACCAAGCGCGGGACCGAACCCGACTCTTACGACCGAGAAGCCATGCCACTATCCACTAGGCTACCGGCATCCCCATTTAAAATCGCCCTTTAAAGCTTAACTTCGAAATTTCAATTCAATTTTTTATGTGTTTGCAAGCTTATTTGAAAGATTTTGATTGCAGTGTATGAATCTCCATACTCGATTTAGTATGGAGTATCTTTTTTAGTATCTTTTTTTTGAGTCAACCATGCTTTTCAGAATTTGCTTTTTCTTTGCTGTTCAGTTTTCGAAATTTCAAGATGTATGTGATCCGGAAACGAAAGCTCACGGGAAATTCGTGCCTTTCCCTAGTTAGATTAATTTTGTGGATATAACCAAATTCTATCTTTTTTCTGAGTCAACTATGCTTTTTTGCAGAATTTGCTTTTTCTTTGCTGTTCAGTTTTCGAAATTTCACTGCTTATCAAGAAAGTTTTCAGAGAAAAGGCGAAGGGTTCACTGCACTTGAGCTATTTTTCCCGGAGATTTTCATAAAAAGTAGCAGCTTTTTGATTTCAACACTCGCAATTCTTATTTGTTATGGAAAACCGAAGCCGAAACGTGAAAGTGATCTTGGTTGGTGAGTCGAATGGTGAGTGTTTTGTAGATATTGATAAGTAGATAAGTATTAGGTTGGAAAGAAAGTTCGTAGAAAAAGTTTGCACGGTGATTTCTCAAAAACCAAGCCATCAATTCTTTCCAAATTTTTTGATAAACTTGAATATATTCTAAAGTTTCTGACAAAAATCAGAGCGGGCTTCAGGTAAAAAAAATAAGGGATTTCTTCAGCTGAAAGTGACTTGGTCACGTTTTGAGTGACCAGCCTTTAGACAAGTTTTTAATGGGTTAATGAATAGGCAATGCGCCCCATTCAAAACCTAAAATCAAGTACTTAAAATAGGGAAAGCTTTGTGATTAAGGGAAATTTTGATCTAATGCTTTAACTTTTCAGAATCACCTATTTTAGCAAACACTCAGTGCCAAGAAGATGACACCAAAAAAAATTATTTTTTGGCCAAAAAATAGAGATTATAGAGCGTATTGCTCTAGCTAGCTTTACCTCATAAAGAATCGTTTTTCTGGTGCAAAAAGTGAACGGAATTTAAGCTGGAAAATCATAATTTTTCAAAAATCTCGAAAATTTTACGGGAAAGCTGCACTCATTTTTTTTAAAGAGTAATTTCTTGGAGTCTACTTGTAAATAAATAGAACAAATTGTTCTTGAATTGGTTGATTTTTAAGAAATTCCAGTCAAACTTTTTCCGAGAACTTTCTTTCCAACCAAATAGCAAAAGTGTACAAACGGGAAAAAAATACAATCGTATCTGAAGGGACTAAAACAAATTGTTCAGTTCCCTAAGTCGTTTTTCTTTTTTTCGTCCCATCTCACTTTCCCCAAGCCGGAGGAGGTTTCTGTCGTTCGTTGTTGCTCGAAGAAAGTTGTTCTAGCTTGGGATCCGGCACATTACCCATGACGCGTTTTTTTACGAGTAATTTCTTGGAGTCTACTTGTAAATAAATAGAATAAAATGTTCTTGAATTAGTGGATTTTTTTAAAGAAATTCGGGTCAAACTTTCTTTCCAACCTAATAGTATATCTATAAAAGATCACTTTTTTTTTGAATTTTAATACCTGTAGAATTTAATATCTCTAGAATTTAGCTGGTAAGTCAGCGATTTTACATCGCTTTCAACACGGCGAGTTCCCGGAGGAAAAGCGAGCGACGATCGGGATCGACTTTCACACGAAACCATTTACTTTGAGTGACGATAAGGTACTAGATTTTAAGTATAAAGTTCTTCGTTAGATTTTATCAAAATCCAATTCAGCGAATCACGCTTCAAATCTGGGACACAGCTGGACAGGAACGTTTCCGGCAACTCATGCCAACATACCTCCGCGATGCCCAAGTCGCGATTATCGTTTTTGATTTGAATGGTATGAATAAACTAATGTGTAGAAACAAATAAACAAATAAACAAATAAACAAATAGATAATGTAAATAATGATGATATAAACTAAAAACTTTTCAATCTAGATCCCGATGCGCACTCACATGTGACGAAATGGGTGAATTTTGTCGACATGACAAGGGGAAACAGCACACATATCGTTCTCGTTGGGAACAAAGCAGATCTCAAGGGAGTACGGTAGTTTAAAAGATTTGCTACCATTTTAAAAATCAATTCAGTCGACCGAGTAACGCGGCTTTAAGGAAATTGACTACAGAGGTGGGAGCAATGTTCATTGAAACCTCGGCGTTAACAGGTCAGACAAAGTGATCAATGCTCTAGAAAAGAAATTCTGAAATCATATGTACTGAGAAAATGACTGAATATAATGAACAAATACCGATAATTGAGAATACCGTATTTTCTCTAATAGTAGTGCACCCCGGTGAGCCGAGTTGGTGACGATTTTACGGTTTTCAAGCTTTTGCAGAAGCTCAACACTCTAATCCCCCACTAGATCTCATCGTCAGCTACATTTTCCGACCCCACATCGATAGGTTCTGATAAGCGGTTCTCGAGATTTCGAGCAATTTAGGCAGGGTGCATTACTATTAGAGAAAATACGGTAATAGAATTCAGGTGATAATGTGGACGAGCTTTTCCGTCAAGTTGCTCACTTGCCTTTTCCTAGCACCGAGAAATCGATCTCTGATTCGACGATTCGTGGGAATTTTCGCTTGTTTCAATCAAAAGACTTTCTTTTTCAAGTTTTCCTTTTTTTTTAGATGATAAGATGAGAAAGAATTTCTTTTTTTCAGGGCTCGAGCGCTCCCACTTGTTCATGAGATCGAAAGAGTGCTCGTGCTGACACTTCCGCTCACCATCATTTCTCTCTTCATCCCGATCAACCTTGCCATTCGTGATTTTGAGTTTTATAGCACCAACATCTTACTTCATTTACCCATTAGAGCCATAATAGATTTGTTTTCCATGATTATTTGTTTTTAATGATTTACGAATCAATCGCTTTGATATCATTTGGTCTTTTTTTGATTGATTGTAAACTTTGACAGAATATCTTTAAAAAATATGGTAATTTGATTCAGTTTTTATTTTGCTCAGCACACTGTACTCAGAAATCTTTCCTTAATAAACTGCTATAAATATTTAAGCAAAGTACAATATCAATTAGTTTATAAATTTATCTATCAACCATTGTTGACAATTAGGTAATAATATTATATTGGATTGGGGAGAATGATATGACATCGAAAATTAAAGAAATATCTAAAAGAATTGAAAAGAAATGTGAATTTTGAGACAGTTTTGGGGGGTGGGACAAATGCGACCTTTTTTTTGCTGGAAAAGGCCTTAGGAAAGGTCGTAGAGCTTCAAAAATGTTTTCATAGAAGGGAATCTACGCATACGATTTCCTTATATGGAAATATTTTCGAAGCTCTACGACCTTTCCTAAGGCCTTTTCCAGCAAAAAAAAAAGGTGCGCAAATGTCCAGGTACGCAAAAAAAGGTCGCATTTGTCCCACCCCCGAAAGCTTAATTGGTACTTATTGATTACACGGCTCGTTTTTATGTAAATTTAAGTTGGTGCATCATATTGATTACAATTTCGTTCTCTCAATTTGTATTTCTAAGATTTATGTAAACGATTTTGTAGAGAAATAGTGAAGCATTTAAAAGAGAAAGAGAAACAGCGTCTCAGCTTAACAAAAAGCCACCTTTTGTACCTTTTGATGAAACAAAATATGTATTTTAAAGAAGGCTTTATTTGTGTGCAAAAAAAATGTCTGAAAGTTTGACGCTATTCTCCTCAACCCAATCACCGTTTTTCCCAATCCTCAATCAAGTTCTTTAAAAGAAACAAGCTGGTTGATCGAGTGTTTGTGATGTTTGACATGGACACTTGTAATCGAGTCGCCTTTTTGTCGTGATTTCTTGTCCACAATCACATCGACAATCAACAGCTAAACAGACAGTTTAAAAGAAAGAAAGAAAGAATGATTTGACTACTTTTGGTCTACCGATCTTTCTCTATCATAGCTTTTTGTCATTCGGCTTAATCTCAAGTTTTCTTATTTCCCTTTTCCTTTTTCAATTGCAAAAAACAACGATCGCTACTGTGAATAGTGATTGATTGATCAAATAAATCAAATGCTATCAAATAAAAACCATTTCTCAAAACCACCATTACCTTCTTTTCAATTTAAAAGATAAACTCAAAATTTTTAAAGATTAAAATCAAATTTCATAGTCGTTGTCCTTTGATTTCTCTCAAAAGCTTTGTCATTTTTTTTTTTGCAAAAGTTCTATGTTGATCAAAAAATTTCCTACTCTCCGATAAACTTTACGTACTCGTAAACATCTACCGGAACCATTTTCCCATTCACTTCCTCATTTTCATTATTCACAATCAATCCTTGATCACCTAAACAATCTGATTTTTCTTAGAAATTCTGTTTTTATATAATGCTTAATGTAATGTACTTAATGAAAAGCTGTTTAATGAAAAGCTGTTTAATGTAAAGCTGTTTAATGTAAAGCTGTTTAATGTAAAGCTGTTTAATGTAAAGCTGTTTAATGTAAAGCTGTTTAATGTAAAGCTGTTTAATGTAAAGCTGTTTAATGTAAAGCTGTTTAATGTAAAGCTGTTTAATGTAAAGCTTCACCGCTCGGTTTCAGTTTATTTTACATTGTCGATCAATTTCCTCATTATTTTTTTTGCTTGATGCTCATTTCCCCAACATTGTCATAAAGCTTTCTCAACATCAGTGAAAGCGTCATAAAGCTTTCTCAACATCAGCAATTCTTTAATTTTCAATAAATTCCCATTATGACCTTGATTCTTATCAAAGAATCCATTTCCACTTTTTTTCCTTATCCTTTTTTTTCAATTTTTCATAGAGATCAAGTAAAAACTTTCATGTGCCTATGGAAAAATCTCATGATGAAAAATTGGAATGATTGAAAAGTGATGGAAATCTCATGATGGAAAATTGGAATGATTGAAAAATGATGGAAATCTCATAATGAAAAAAAAAACTTCGAAATTGGTTTATCCGGTAAACCTGTGTCTCAGAATTTGCGTTTCTGAAAACTCAAATTACCATGAAAATAATTTAACTATTTTTAGTCATTCTAAAATTTGAGTAGTCAGCAGCAATTTTTCCTCACTTTTTTTTTCGTCTCACTCACTTCCTGGGGTCAACACCGATAAGCCGTTGTTGTTTTTGTTGAAAACGAGCACGAAACTTTGCGTTAAGCGGAACTACAAATATAAAATGATATAGAAAAAAAGAAAAAACAAAAAAAAAATTCGATTAGGGTAATCGTGGAAATGATTGGCACTTTTCCTAAATAAATATTGAAAGGAGTTGTTGATACGTTACATATTTACGTTGATAAATTTACTTTTCCCTCTAGATTTTCTGGAAGCAAAATCTGTAATTTTGAAATCACTTTTGAGTTTCAAAATTTGATCCCATTTTCGTTCGTCTTGTTCGTCCCGTTTTTATTTCTACTTGGATCTCTTGAGTAATTTCTGACTATGCGATTTGGATTCATAAAGGACAAGTCTAGATTTCGAAAGTTGTGATTAACCTCCAAGATCCTGTTCTTTAAATAGATTTCCTAATCAAAAACAAGGACTTATTTCTTGAAACTGATAATATCCAAATGACTCAATTCGATTATAACTTAAATATGGATTGGTTCAAAAAAAGGGACCGATTCTCAGTAAAGCCAAGTTATCGCTTTTCGGGTCGATTCCAGCCTTGAACTGGTTTTGGCTTCACCGTTGGTTTTCGCTTGATAGAAGGTGGAGATTGTGACGGGAGTATGACCGGGATTTGGGCGTGGTGTCGCGCGGGCGGGGGGAGGGGGAAAAGCGTTCAGTCGTTCACCGTTCTCTCTCCTTTACTGAATCGAAAAGTCAGCTCCTTATGTCAGGGCAGTTGGTCAGACGGCGAGCGATTCGGCACACAAAGAACACCTCGGTAGTCATTTCGGGATTTTTCTTTTGCTTTATAGATGGGATAAAAAGAAAATATTGAGCTGTAAAGTTGGCTAGAAGTAGAAACAGATCCTGTTCAGATCTTTTGCATCAATTCCATCAAATAGATCTTTTGTATTGCTTTTGAAGAAGGCATTGTCCGAAAAGACAAAGGAAACTTGGTTTACTCAGCTCACCCTCTTAAAAGCGGCAAAGTTTTCCCGAAATCCAGGATCTTTGATGGAATTGATGCAATGACTAGCAATTGATCTGGGTGAATATGCAAATGGATGGCTCTGATCATCAATTGATTGATGACTCTGATCTCGAGATGATTTGAGCTCGGCGGATGATGATGGGTATTTTGTGTGAGCTAGTTTAGGGAGCCGTCGACCTCACTCATCACTCGGTGATGAAAATGCTGATCGGGGGGATTCCCCATACCCCTTTCCCTCTTTCTAAAATTCACCGAAATGCACCCGAAATCCTCTCGCCAATCATATGAGCAAAAATGGAGATAATAAGCAGAGATCCCCGCATTTTGTGCGATGAAATCGGTGATTCAGAAATTCAACAAATACTTTTGCCACAAATACTATTGTAATCTTGTTTACCGGTGTTTAAAAGTTTACTCGAAAAATCTATTCAAACCGTTTCCTCTTTTGCTTTGCTCTTTTAACCCATTTTCTTTTCTCAACGAAAATTGTAAACTTGTTTGCAAATTAGAAATTGTTGTAAGGATATCCTTTTTGTTGACTTTATGCACTTTTCCTCTTTTATGACTGAATTTGGTGAATAAAGAATTCGACAAAGAGTCGATGAAGGGCAAAGATCTCTCTTTTTCTCTCTTTTTCTCTCTTTTTCTCTCTTTTCTCTTTTCTCTTTTCTCTTTTCTCTTTTTATCTTTCTTTCCTCTTCTCATTCAAAAACATTTCATTCAAATAATTCCATTTCCATTCCATCTTTTGCCTGCTATTTAATACGAAATCTTTGAATCGAACGTGAACATTTCTCAGTGGCAAACCGCGATGAAGTTTACAACACTTTTTCGAAAACTCTGGATCTTCATAGCACCATTGTTGCTCTCACCGTTGTTGTTTTTTGGAAAAGTGAGTTAGATTCTGCACTAAATAAAGAGCTAAAAGAGTCACGGAATTATATAGTAATATATAAAAGAGCAGCGTCTCTCTCTACAAGCTTTTTTCTCAGCCGTGTTTTGACCAATAAAGCTAAAACTTCTTTAGAAAACTTTAGAATATATTGTAGTTGTGCTATTTAAAAGAAAAATTGAAAAATGTCAAAATTGAGTGGCAATAGGAGGGGTTGAGGAGTCATGAAATCCAAAACCAAACCAATATCGGTTTAGAACATTCAGTCTCTTGTACAGTTGAAAATTGCGAGTTAAAAGAGTTCTATAACACTTTTAACTCGAAATTTTCAAAGAAACAGCCATGTTCTGCTCATGAGCTACTAATCAATAAAGTGTTTGGTTGAAAATCTTAGTTTACACGTTGACACCACGATGCCAGTAGAATGTTTTAATTTTATGGCAAAAATTTTATGGTGGTGATCCATATGGTGGTGGCAGCCATGGTGGCTCAGAAATTTCATGTATAGGAAAGACATAAAACCGGGGAAAAGTGAAAAAATATCAAAAATTTGCCCGCCCAAAATATTTGACCACAACAACCTCCAGAAGCCACTAGAAATTCTGAGACAAATCAAGTTGAACTGACTTTTTTTTGGAACATATTTGGAACAACATCCTGTATATATTAGATAATAAAGTCAAGTTAGCTTTTTTGTCAATAAAGTCAAGTTAGCTTTCAGTTCTTTAATCTTGCAGTCGTAATTTTCAGGAACTCCGATGCGTTTTCGCAATAATGCTCATGTCAGCCTATTGGATGACCGAATGTGTCCCCTTGGCGATCACCTCTCTGCTTCCTATTTTTCTTTTCCCATTTCTCGACATACAAAATGCCGACGACGTTTCTTCACAATATATGAATGTATTGCAAGATAGAGATCAAAATTTGAACTTTCTCAGGATACAACCGTTCTTCTCATGATCACTCTTTTCATGGCAATAGCCGTTGAAGAGACTGGCCTCCATCGACGACTTGCTCTCAAAATGTTAACAAAAGTGGGAACAAGGCCTGGCTTTCTTCTCTTTGGATTCATGCTTATCACAACTTTTATGTAAGCTTTAATAAATAAACAACAACAAAAATCGATTACAGTTCTTTTTTTGTCTCTGACTCTGCAACAACTGCCATGATGATCCCTATCGCTCTCGCAATTTTAGAAGCAATGACTGGAGCACCAGCTAAAAATACAAGGTATTTTTGAGTCAGTCGAATTCATCGAAAAAATCGAAGTCAATGAGTTAAAAGTCAAAGTCAAGTCAATCAATTCTTTTTCTTTTACATTCTTTACATTCTTTACATTCTTTACATTCTTTACATTCTTTACATTCTTTTATTCTATTTTCAGTCATTTCAAAAATTAGTTTATTTTAGTGCAACTATTGCTGATCATTTACGATTGAAAGAGCTCTCGAAAAAGCAAAGGGGTTAGTGATTTGAAAAAGTCAAATAGAAAGATAAAAGTAATGATTTCAAGTATTACTTTATTTTTTTAAAGGCTTTTGCAAAGCAATGATTCTCGTTTGTGCCCATGCGAGTCTCATCGGCGGCACTGCAATTCTAACATCAACCGCTCCGAATCTCATCTTTCGAAATGAGCTAAACAGGTTGTAAAATAGTTAATAGTTTGAGAAATAGTTAAATATTTAAGTAAACAATTCAAACAAGCATCAGATTAAGATCAAACATAAAAAAAAAAATTCTAGACGATATCCAAATGAGCCCAAGGTGACAATGACTTATGTGAAATGGTTGCAATTCTCGTTGCCGCCAATGTTTGGCTATCTTATTGCTTCGTATCTAATCGTTATGGTAAATAACAGAAAAAGGATTTGAAGATCAAATGATTTAGACGGTTTTCATCGGCCCATTCTCACTGTTCGATTGCTTCCGTGCACCTTCTGGTAACATAAAAAGTCAAAAAATTAAACCGAAATTGAAAATTTAGAAGAAGAAGCTCATGCAAGTAAAGAAGTGGAAAGATCTGTTAAAGAAGCGTATAAAAATCTAGGCAGTATCAGGTTAGATTCGATTTTTTTTGTTTTGAATAACTACCGTAAATACTGTATTAGTACCCCACCCCCATAATGACGGTGCGGAGTGTTGCGTAGTCTAGCTTTGAACGAGTTTTTCTCGACACTGGTTTATGCTACAATGCGCGCTTAGGTATCAAAAAATAGCCCTGAATTTCAGCTATTTTTTCATACCAAAAACGCATTTTTTGAAAGTACGGGCGCTTTGAAAAAAATGAAATACTAAAAAACTTTTGCGACTACGCGACTGTACGAGGGGGTTTGGGTACTATTACAGTGTTTACGGTAGCAATAAATATTAAATATTTCAATCTTTAAAGTCTATCAAATTCAACAATTTTTTTACAGCTTTTCTGAAATCTCGGTACTTTTTTGGTTTATCGTTTTGATTGTTTCATGGATTTTCCGTGAGCCTGGCTTCATGACTGGATGGGCTGATTTAATTTATGGAAAAGAAAAGAGGTTTGATAATAAAATAATAAAAATATTGAATAAAAATGAATATTAAATGTTTAAAGACTTTAAATTCTACAAAATTCAAAAACTGATTTCAGTGAACGCTTTAAAGATTCAACTGTCGGAATTCTAATCGTTTTTATCTTATTCGCTTGGCCAAAGGATTTCAAGTAAGTTTATTAAATCAATTTTGTACTTGCACTTTTGTACTTTTGTACTTTTGTACTTGTACTTGTACTTTTATAGTTTTGTACTTGTACTTTTGTACTTAATCGTTTTAACTTTAGCATTCGATCAAGAAATCGAAAAATCGCTGACATTGAAATGGAAACAAAAGGAAAAACGAAAGGAAAAGCGTCAGAAGGTGAGAAATGTTGTAAGAATTGAAAATTATTAAACTTATCTATTATTAAAATGTAGAAATGAAAATCGTGCGACGATCAGAAGCGATTCTCACGTGGCCGGTAGTGCAAAGACGAATGAGCTGGTCGGTGCTTCTCCTCATCGGCGCCGGGTTTGCGATCTCGGAAGGAGTAAAGGTAATATTGTAAGATAATAATAAAATGATTTACAAAATGAATTTAAAACCTTATCTCAATAAGCTTTAGTAATTAGATAGAATTAGGTACCGTAAATACTGTAATAGTACCCCACCCTCCTCGTACAGTCGCGTAGTCGCAAAAGTTTTTTAGTATTTTTAGTATTTCATTTTTTTCAAAGCGCCCATACTTTCAAAAAATGTGTGTTTGGTATCAAAAAATAGCTGAGATTCAGGGCTATTTTTTGATGCCTAAACGCGCATTGTAGCATAAGCCAGTGTCGAGAAAAACTCGTTCAAAGCTAGACTACGCAACACTCCGCACCACCATTATGGGGGTGGGGTACTATCAGTATTTACGGTAAGTACTTTTACAGTCAAGTGGCCTCTCTCAATGGTTGGCTTGTGAAGTGAGCGCTTTCAAGCATCTCGACGAAATGGTGATTCAAGGTTGGGAATTTCGAAAGAATATTGTTATTTTGATTTGAGTTTATGATTTTCAACATAATATTTGACAATATTTTGTATCTAATTTGGATTGAAACATTATTGCACAGTAGAGTATCATATGTTTTCAACAATTTTCTAGAAATGAAATTTCATAGAAGTTTAATTCTGGCAACCTAGAATAGCTTAGCATCACATTTTACCGAAAAAATAGTTTATTTTGATATTTTTTTGCTTGAAATTCACAGTAAGATGCAAGAAAACCTGTTTTTTTTACAAGAAAGCCTAAGATTTTTCGTGTTTTTTGCAGCACAAACTCTTTGTTTTTGATCATTTTGACTATCATTCGATGCGCAATTTTGTTCTGCATCGAATGATAGTCAAAATGATCAAAAACAAGGAGTTTGTGCTGCAAAAAAACACGAAAAACCTCAAGTTACCAACCAGCAAAATATTAGGGTGGTGCAAAAGACACTGCCGATTTGACGGTAAATTCAAAAAAAAAGGATGGCGTTCGATGGTGACATGATCACAATGGAATATTTTCGCAAGATCTCGAGCAGATTGGCATGGATCGGCCTGAATAACGTCCCTCAGCTTGGCTTCGTTCACGACTTCTGGCCTCGAACCGTGCTCGTAATCTTCCAAAGTCTCGTCTCCCTCTCGGAATCGTTGAAACCAAGTCTGACACTGCCTGAGAGACAAACTGCCATCTCCGAAAGCAGCACAGAGAGAACGATGCGATTTGGCAGCAGACAGCAGGCAGCAGACTTTCCAATTTTGAAGTTAAACAGTAATGCTGCTCGTAGCACAAACTTTTGCTCGACCATGATCTAAATAAAAATATAAGCATTTTTAAACAGAATAAACAACAACCAAAAAAATTCAAATGTCGAAATAAATAGCAAACAAATATGCGAACAAAACATACAAAAAATAATGCCGTTAGCATCGCTTGTTTCTAATAAATGAGAGCTGATACCCATCGGCAGTTTCTTTTGCACCACCTTAATAGAACTGACAGATTTTTCGTTACAAGTCTACCCTACTATTCAATAATGTTTCAATCTAAATCGAAAACAGCAAATTTAAAGCTAACAAATCGATTTTTCAGCCGCCATCACAGCAATCATCGTTTTCACGACCGAATTCATGAGCAACGGCGCAACGGCGAACATCTTTGTGCCAATTGTGCAAACTGTCGTAAGTTTACTTGACTTGACTTGACACTTGATTTTGTAACATAAACTCAAAGCTAGATTTGAAATAAAATTCTATCCAAACTTCTGAGCCTTTTCTAGGCAGTTTCTCTGCATCTTCATCCGCTTTATTTGGGGATCCCTTCAGCGATCGCTCCCTCGTTTGCTTTCATGCTTCCAATGGCCACTCCGCCGAATGCTCTTGTCTACGATACGCATGTTGTTGGATTCTTTGAAATGGTTGATTTCTCAAAAGTTGAACATTGCATTTTTAAATCTCAAAGAAAGCTAATACAATCGATTTTGGCAAAACCGATAAATTTCTCAAAGAAAGTTCTATTTCGAACCGTTTTAGATTCGATTTTTAAAGGGTTATTTTTAGATTCACAATAAACAAAAGCCAAAACCAATAAGACTACAATTTTTATTCTATTTTACTTATAAAAAAGTAGGGAATCTAATGTTTGAAAAAAATTTTATTTGAGGCGTTTTATTCTGAGTCGAAATATCTATTGATTATATCTAAAAATTTGAAAAATTCAACTCTTCGTGGGTACTTTGCTGAATTTTTATGTAGAAAAACTTGATAAATTCAGCTCTTGGTGGGTACTTTGCTGAATTGTGTGTGCATTTCGATCACAATCCTTTCGATGAACACGTGGACGTATTGGCTTTTCGATCTTGGCTACGTGCCCGACTCGGTTCTTCTTATAAACAATGCAACATTAAACTGTTAAGTCCCACCTATTGGCATTTTTGGGTCTTAAAGAAACTAGTCAAAGATTTAAAGCCTTTTCCCCTCTTTTTCGTTTCCACTTTTACGGGTTCTTTTTTTCTTTTTTTTGTTTTTTAGCTACCGTAAATACTGTAATAGTACCCCACCCCCTCGTACAGTCACGTAGTCGCAAAAGTTTTTTAGTATTTCATTCTTTTTCAAAGCGCCCGTACTTTCAAAAAATGCGTCTTTGGTATGAAAAAATAGCTGAAATTCAGGGCTATTTTTTGATACCTAAGCGCGCATTGTAGAATAAACCAGTGTCGAGAAAAACTCGTTCAAAGCTAGACTACGCAACACTCCGCACCGTCATTATGGGGGTGGGGTACTATTACAGTATTTACGGTAGCTTTTTTTGTTCATCGCTTTACCCTATCCTCTCTCTTTCTTTCGACTCTCAACTGTACATATAAAGCTTTATTATGATCGTTTCACAAAAACACAGCACCAAACTGAAAGAAGAAACCAGTTCTAAAAAAAGATCAAAGATTGATGATTCAAAGATTAGTGATTGACGGCGCTAAGTCCAACGGTTGACTCTCTTTTATTTCTCGGCAAACCCTTGATTTGCTCTGAAAAAACGAGGAATGTAGATTATATAGTTATTATATTAAGAAAAAAAAATCTAAGCCTCATGTTTTCCAACGGCAAACCTGATTTCCGTACCTCAAATCCGAGTCGGCTAAGAAAAAGTCGGCGAATCGGGCGATTGAGCGCGAGTAGCACCGGGGCATTGCTCGCGCAAAGCACATCATTAACCACAAACCTCAATTTATACTATGTAAAGCATATAGATATAAATATAGATATAAATCCTTATTCTACATAGCTTTTTTTTGCACCAACCACACTGTTCGATAGCTGTAAGTCCAAGTCTCATTTGGGGGCGCAAGTGCGGACAAGACCTGTAAGAGATTTTGAGCGGAAATCAAGCTGAATCTTTACCCCTATCGATGTTATTATTAAATAAATCCATCTATTTTACATTTAGCTAAGATATTATTCTGATTTTTACAAAAAGACTTTCTAAATTTTTCTAAACTCACTGAAAAGATGCCCAATGCGAGGTAGGAGATGAAGATGACAAAAGCGGAAAGAGCTAATCGGGCCACCAGTTGCTCGGGTCGACGCACAACCACATGTGATCTAAATTCATCTGCTCAATCATCATTTTAATTATCTTCAATGCATGCTAGTTTATTTTAAAAAAGCATTTTCGATTTTAAAAAAGCACAAATTTCGTTCATTTAAACAAACGGCATGCTTTTCATTCAAAACTTACGCTGATAACAACTCGGAATGTTCACTAAATTGAGGATGAATTTTCAATAGAAAGAACTTTTAATAGATCAATATTCTATCAAAATATAAATAAAAACCAACCGAACACGTGTAAAAATGCCAATGTAAAGCGCCGAAACGATAATGTTCACAATGACCCCGTCGACGAAAGCAACACCGATAAAATACGCCTAAAATGATTAATAAACTAATTATGTGTTTAATTTTAAAAGAACGCTTATAAATTTGTATATTACTTGGGGGTGGGACAAATGCGACCTTTTTTTTGCGCACCTGGACACCCGGACATTTGCGCACCTTTTTTTGCTGGAAAAGGCCTTAGGAAAGGTCGTAGGGCTTCGAAAATATTTCTATATAAGGGAATCATATGCGTAGATTCCGAATTTCGACAAATCAGACCTCGCTGACACGTCAAATTTAGGCTAAAAGGCAAAAACTGCGAAAAAGGGTTAAGTTGCGTAGTTTTTGCCTTTTAGCCAAAATTTGACGTGTCAGCGAGGTCTGATTTGTCAAAATTCTGAATCTACGCATACGATTCCCTTCTATGAAAACATTTTTGAAGCCCTACGACCTTTCCTAAGGCCTTTTCCAGCAAAAAAAAGGTGCGCAAATGTCCGGGTGCGCAAAAAAAAGGTCGCATTTGTCCCACCCCCTATTACTTTAATTCTTCTAGTTACTTTATGCACAATCGGATCGCTGGCGGTCACCGAAACCGAGCCGGTCAGATGATCAGTGACAAAGGTGAATTTCGTGAAGAAAAGTGGCAAAACCATTAAACAGGGCAACGTCCATTGCACCAACATCAGAATTGCTGTGGCCTAAATATTCATAGAAGATATAGATCTTCATAAAGCAACACGGAAATTTGTCATTTCTTAGCTTTTCTTTTCTTTTCTTTTCTTTTCTCACCCCAGGTTTCCACCAGCATTGCTTGTGCTTTATCGGGTAGTAAACGGCCGTAAATCTAGAAAAAGATTTTTTCTTGTATTTTAAATCATTCATAGTGATGAAGGTACATTTTTCTCGTTTCCACACAAAGAATTCGTATTTGCAATAAGAGTTTTATCAAGGCAAACGAAAAAGAAAAAGAGAAAAGAGAAAAGATTCTGACAGTTAAATCGGGGCAAATTATGACCCCATTGAGTTTCACGTGTGCAAGATAGTGCAGTGATACTTTTCTGAGTTCTCACCCGCTTTTCCCATTTCTTTCATTTCGACCCAAAAACCTCTGATAAGCGCACCGAGAAATATCGACTCGCTACCGACTTTCAGCTCGTACAATGGTCATTAGATTTTGGGATTAAAAAAAAGTGTAAGAAATTGAACCATTTAGAATTGAATTGAATTGAACAATGAATCATTGAGAGAAAAAGAAACAAAGAGCAACAAAAAAGTAAAGAAATTTGGTCACTAACCTGTTGAAAGCGATGAAAATGATGCCGATCGCTTGTGCATGCCCAAAATAGTTGATACAAGCTAGAATTTTGAGGAGTTTTTTTTCAAAATACACTTTCTCTAGCTACCAATCGGTATAACGGCCCAGCTCTCAGTGAAAATCGAATCGGGCAGCCAGCCGAAAATCGGCATTTTGAAGAGCACCAATGAGACGACGGCCATCAAAATGTCGGCTATCGACAAGTGGATGCAGAGTCTGGGATTCGAATGAGCTATGGAATTGATCACAATCTTTCCCTCAAATCTTTATTCTTTACGTTCTCAGAAACGTATCCTTTCTAGCATACTGGGCTCAGCAAAAGATTCCGTGCGCTAGAAGTCTTTCGCTTTCGCTTTCGTTCTTGCGTTGAGCGTCAAGTACGGGGTCAAATCCATTGTAAATCTCACTTCATTTTTAAAATCTCACTAAGAATGACTCAACCACTTGCAATTCAAAGTTTTCAATTCAAAATCCATTAAAAGCTTTCAGAAAAAATTGTTCTTTACACCGTAACATCTGCAATATAATGACTCTACCCCGGAAAAAAGAAGAGCAAGTACTACCGTTATTTCTACAAGTATTACAGTATACATTTTAAGACGTACCGAAAAAATGGAGTTCCTAAGATGGGATGCCTTGATTCTCGCAGCACCATGATCACAAACATCACATTTATTGGTAAACAAAACAAAGAGAGCGCTGTCGATGTATACTCGACAAAGACGCCAAAACCTGGCGAAGGCATCTGAATTTGATTCAATATAAAGACTTTATTTAAAATCAAAGTTCTGAGTTGTTTTTCTTGAAAACACAAAGTTGATAAATATTGAATTTTCGTCGAAAATCTTTTCTAGTCAAAGGAAAGATTCGAGAGGAGAGAAAATTGGCATCAATCATATCATTCGCGCGTCATCTTGATATCGATAACGCAAAAACGACCGACGACTTATCGTTCTCATTTTCTAGAAGATTAGCTATACATCTAATGTCTAGCTGTAAGATAAAATTACATTAATGGAAGCTTAATGGAAACAAAAACGTTTTTCGATTCTACTAGGTTTGATGGATAAACAGTTGCACATGGTGCACCGATCGGTCGCGATTAGAAATGAAAAATTGATGCTGCAAATCTGGATCACATAAAATTTGGTTTTTTTTAGAAGACAAGACTCAAAGGACAGTGGTGAATTTTTTTTTTTTTTCATTTTTCCCGATACGTGTTTGAAATGAAACGTGAGAAACTGTTGTTGTTTAAAAAAAAAGCATAAAAAGATTGCTGAACAAAAAGTATCAATAGAAAATTCCTAACTGTAGGTTTGCAATAAAAAGTGCCGAGAATAATCAATGAAAGCCACAGAAGAGCGCCCCGAGATCGTCTTATCGATGGAGAAGTCTCAAACGCGGCGTCACCCAAAAAGGCCAATTTCTCCAAAAAGGGGAGAAAAAACTCCACAGGAATTTTCCCAAATTCTTTGTTGCAGAAAATGAAACTTCTACTTTCCAGGCCAAAAATATCCTTTTCAAATGCACTTCTTCGTGCATCCTTTTAACACATTTTACCCATTTTCTTAATCCACCAGCTAAAGCGGATAAGATGAGAAGCAATTTGCTTACAAAATAGTGTAGAAACAACACAGCTATTATTAATATTGTCGACGTATAAAATTTTCAACAATATAGTCCTTTCAAGGGAAGTATTAAATTTTTTTCGGCTATTCCACTCACAATTCTTAAAATGTAACTTTGTCGTTTCTGGAAGCAATGTTTACTTTATTAGCGATCACGACATATTAGACCCGAATTACAACTAATTGATTACCTAAATAAAATAAAATAGGTAAGAATTAAATGCGAAAAACAATCGAAGAGATCAAAATTACAGAACACAACAATAAAATTATAACTAAACAATAAAAGCTCATAGCGTTCAAAATCTAAATCCTTTGCAAAGCTTGAGAGAAATTAGTATTTTTTCTTTTTCTGCTTATTTGACATTTCACCGTAGTCATTCTCCTGTTCAATGCAAATTTTTTCTAACAACTAAACAAAGATATCACTTTTTTTAGACTTCAAAACATACTCTTTGTCGCATTTTCTCTTCTTGATGTCGTATCAAAGTGGCTCTTAGCAATGATTCCCGCAAGTCGTTTTCCTCTGTATTTGTTGAAAAAATACTGGTCTAAAATGAAAATAGGCTGCATTAAGAACTGCAAATAGAGTAAATTAAACATGAGAAAAACCGACATTAAGATTTTCTTCCTGTTCGACATCGTCAATCAGTAGTTTCTCCTGCGGTAAAGTTTTCTCTTTGCGCTGAATTAATAATTTACTCAAGACTAGGTTTAAATCAAACATGTATAGTTTCAAAAAGGTACCTCGATTCTTTTGAAAACAACCATCAACAAACGTTCGGCTTGAAGTTTCTTCGTTTCCTCAAGCTTTGCTTGCTGTTCACTGTCATTTGTCTCTTCAATTTTCCTTTGCTCAAAGAGTTTTGATTCTTCTGCTCGTCTTTTGGCTAACTCTCTCTAAAAAAGAAAATAAAACGTATAATTAATTTAATGTACGCATGTAAGTTATATAATATACATAACACAACCTTTAAACGTCGATTCTCTTCCCGTTCAAGTCGTCTCTTTTCTTTCAGTTCGAGCTCCAATCCAGCTTTCTTTTCAAGCTCGAGGCTGAAAAAAATAATTTGATAAAAAAATGAATGCTGCATACGCATTTTTCCGATCTTCCTCGACTTTTTTACGCTGTTCGGCCATCAATCGATCTTTTTCTGCTTCACGCATCACGAGTTTCCCATTGCTTAGATGCTCGGAACGATCGAAATCTATCTAAAGTAGAATTAACGTTTCTTTCAAACATTCCCAAGAGCTTACCCGCACATTAGCCGTGTATTCCTTCCCATTCACCTTCCTGATCCATTTCCGATCCCTCAGCGCTTCCATCGCTTGTGTGAAAGCAGTTAAATCAACGAATTGAACGTAGCCGTCAAACAAAATTTCCTAATCAACAATAGTTCTAATGCCTAGAAAACTATGCAAACCGGGCCAAAGCTAGCTGTTTTCTTCGGAAGGCCGCTAATTCTTGGATTCATTTGGATTCTTAATGGGTCACATATGGGAATATCTACTAGACGAACGCAGCCAAACGCTTCAAATGTCTTTTTGAAAAGTCGCTCACATGGCCCATCAATTATACCATCCTAAATTTATCTTGAAATATGTGGAAACAAATTTGAACGCCTAAAAGCGCACAACTAATCAACACTAACTCGTGTGAAAGTCTCAAAATTGACATATCTGTAAAATTATGAAGTGAAAGTAATACATTAAACCAGTTGGCGGGCACTTTGCTCAGATGAATAGTATCGGGTCGCAGACCAGGCTCCTTCTAAAACTCAATTAAGCAAATTAAATTAACGTTAATCTAAATATACCTTCTCAGCACTATCTCCAAAATGTTTCTCCCAAGCATGCCGTGTCGGAAAATCAGAAGTAGCTTCACTAAAACTAACAAATAAGATATAAAAGTTATAACAATTTACCTGCAAGCTACTTTCAATGGCTCTGACCAGCCAACAACCTTGAGACCCATGCCATCAAGAGAATGTTTTACCTAAACTTGCAAAAATAATTAAAACAATCAAAATTCTAACCAATGAAAGTTCTTTTCTCGTCAAAAGCTCTGCATCAAATACCACCGACGTGGTATTGCTGTCGACTACTCGAATGCCGTCCATCTAAACAGAAATAGGTTTTAGAAAATTCACAAGAATTCCACCTTCACAGGACTGGCAGATTTCTTCAACTTTTCCATAAGATCCCAATTCGAGATTGATTGCCCAGGGATTGAAATCTAAAAAATAACTAGAGCACATTGCATAAAATTTTGCTTACTGAAGGTAATTTAATCTCGATCTTCACTTTGTAATAAGGCCTTAAAAATATTCCCAACTTTGCGTCAAACATTACATCTTCTCGAGCAGGAACCATTGCATCCTAAAATCAAAAATGCAATGAATATAAAGATAAATTTAATTGGAAATAAAAACGAAAAGCCAGAATGAAACGATTCGAAATAAAATATTTGAAAACTAAACGAAAACCGCCAAATAACGTCGTTTGAGGGAAGGAAAGAGAGATAGAGCATAAACAGAGACACATTGCTATGAAAAGGGAATTTTTGTGTAAAAACGGTGGTTACGTGACAAAAATATCTAAATATAAGGGTATTCTAGATCTAATAATATCTATTCGATTAAAAAAACTAAAAAACTATGAAATTCTAAGTTAGCGCGCGTCTTTACTTCTTTGCTGAACACTTGATAAAACAAATTTAGCCAAAAAAGGATTCAGCTACGTAACTGAATATCTTTACTTTACCCGATTATCAATATAAAACAAAATAAATTGGGTATTAAATGGTGGTGAAAGCGTTGCTCAGCGTTTGGGTTTGAAAATTTTTGGATATTAGACAATACTGAAAGAATTGGTAGGTACAAAAAATGAATTTCATGTACAAGTCTTGGTTTTTTTCAAAAACACGTGCAAAGCAAGGTCTGGATCTGGATAAATAGATGTAAAATTTTAATTGTAAAATTGTAAAATTTTAAATTTAATTTAGAATTTTACAACTTCACCTTGCCTTTTCCTTAAAAACAATTCGTCAAGCTCGATTTTCCCTAATTCCCATTTTTTTGTGTCTTTCGGTTTTGTGCCCATTAACCATTCGATCATTTTTCGAGAACTCGGGGTAAAGTTGTGCTACTTGGGCCACATTTTTTTTTACGGTCAGTGATGGATTGTCGGCAAGGGGAATGTGAAATGGAGCACAGCCAGCTGACGTGTGAACCCCGGCTTCTTGATTGAGTCGAAAGGGAAAGCCACCATCAGGCACAATTGAAATCCTCTCAATCGCCCAATTTACTTGAAAAATCGACGACTTTTTTTAAAAATTGCAACTTCTTCGCTTTCAAGCATTTCAGGTTTTGAGGAAAAGCAAGTATCGATTCTGACATTATGATATTGTTTCTTGTGGCAAATGCCCTGATTCTATTGAATTCTGTTTCGGCTGGTACACAGATTTGTGGGAGTTTTGGGAACAATTGGTCTGCTGAGGTTTTTCGTTTGTAAAAGTGCAAAAAGTACAAACTTTTTGTTAGATCCGTTGTTTGAGGAGTCTTTTATCCCAGTGTTGGGGTGGTCGTTCAGGGCCGGGCAGAGGTGAGATTTTGATAAATCAAGAAAGATTACACTCAAAATTAGACGTTCGCTCACATCCACCATTTATGAGGAATGAGCCACATCAAAGCCAACAGGGTCCGCAGAACCATTGGACTCCTCCACAAAACACAAATCGTTAGAATATAAAGACTATTTTATTATAAACTCTTACAGAAAATGATCAACCCAGGCACAGCTTTGAAAGAATCGAATCTTGGAGACAAGCCGAACCACCAAAGCCGACCACTACCGCAAGACCAACTGGTGGATTTTACGATATTATTACTGTAACCATAAATTTAGCTACTGTCCCTGCTCCACCAACATTCTCCTGTGGTGAATGCACTCGAAAACTGAAAGATACGATGGCTAAAGAAATGGACTCAAGACTTGAACGGACACGCAATGAGTTCAACGATCAAATCAGGTAACTTTAATTAACCAACACAAAGCTCCAAAGTGCAATCAAAAATTCAGTTCAGAGAGCTCGAGACGAGAGTCCAGAAGGCGTTGACAAATCACTCGCAACAAAGCGATAAAGAGATGCGCTCACTCACGGTGAGTCGTTAACATAAAGTTTCAGTTACTATCTTGCAACAAAATCAAGTTTACAGAAAAAAGTAGATTTGCTGACGACTCGCGTTTATCGTTTTACTGACAGGGAATACGTGTTCGTTAATCGAAAAGTGAGCAAATGGGAAAGATTGAGTTAAATAGCTATCAGGAATCATGGTATCACGCATCCGAACAGTGCCATTTATGGGGTGGAAAATTGGCAAGTGTTGCAAGTGATGAGGAAAATCTATTTATTTCTAGTAAGTTGAAGAACAGTAGCTCGATTACATGTTACAGTACGACACAGGACGCTGGGGACATGGCAAAGAGAATGGAAAATTTCTTTAAACGAATAAAGTAGAGAAAGTCTAATAAGGCATGAAAATAGCAAGCAGATTAAAGCAACATCAGTCTAATAAGTGCACTAAGAATAATAACACCAAGAACACCAAGAACAAAGAGTTTCTATGAGTTAAGTCTAATAGGTGCAACGGGGAGGTCAAATGGTTGAGATGGTTGTCTCGAATGGTTGAGACCAACCAACCGTCACCGACAGCCAACCGGATTCGAACCAGTGATCTAAGGGATAGCTGCTCACTCCACAGTCCCTCTACCAACTGAGCTATGGCTCACAGTGTTTAACCATGTTTAGAAATCCTTCCTAACAACACGGCTGCTTGGATTGGATATAACGATATTCAGCGTGAACAAGAGTTTGTTAACAGTGATGAAACGTCAACCAATTTCACTAATTGGGCAACAGGTAAGAAATCTAGAAATCGACAATTTCTTACTGAATTCTTTTTTGATAAGAAATCTTTCAGGTCAACCCGACAATGGGAATTGGAATGAGAATTGTGTGCTCGTTCACTCGAACGGTCAATGGAGCGATGAATTCTGTATGATTGCTAGGGATTTCTTGTGTAAACGATAAATATACCTCAAAAATGTGACCTCAAAAAGGATTGACAGGAAAAAAAACACACACACACACACACAAATACAACCCTCGCTTTGAATAATAATTGTTGCTTGGGTTACGTTCAAAATGTCAGGGACGAGAGTCTCCCCCTTTCATCCCATCTCCCCACAAATTCATTCATGACCGGTCTATGGATGAGACTCAATCCATTCAATCCACTCGCACTAAAGCTTCCCTCTTACATTCACCCGGATCACTCCTCACCGAATAGCCTGTTCTTTTTGCGCGCCGAACTGAGGTTTTCCTCCGTCTTTGTACTGCTGCACTTATGTAAATTACCCTCACTTTTTGGCTAGTTCGCTCTGAACAAGCTTTGAGAGATTTTGTTGCCATCAATTTGCTCAAAACATTCTTGTCAAATAAAACCCATTAGAAACAATTGATCCCTTTTATGGCTTTATTTTTCTCACATCCCATTTGATTCTTATTTGAAACCATCAATCTGTTTAATCTATCTATCTCGTTTCATTCCCAGATTTCATCAAGTTTAACGAAAATTGAATTTTCCCACATTGATGGCCGTCTATGGATGAGACTCAATCCATTCAATCCACTCGCACTAAAGCTTTCCTCTTACATTCATCCGGATCACTCCTCACCGAATAGCCTGTTCTTTTTGTCCGGCCGTGTCAATTTATCTATTTACTAATATATTTGCCAATTTATTTTGCCTATAGGAAAATCAATCAAAACAATGACACCGAATCCCATGGATATCATAGACGTAATTATTTTTCCTCTCTATGGAAAGGAAAAGAGTTGTTTTCAAGCGAACTTGATCCAGTTCACCGCTCAAAGAAAAGTGAGAGCCGTTTCCCTCATCCCTTTAAGGAGATCTAGGGATCAGACAATTGAGGGCGATTGAGGGGAGGAGAAGAGGAGGGAAGCGGGGCAACGAACTCATTCGGGGTCATTCACGTTTAGCGTGTGTGCCTCGCGAGTAATGCGCTTTCGAAAAGTCACCTAAAAGCCGTTAGTTTCCATTCAGTTGACCAAATGTTGGTGTCATTCGGTGAGACTCATCGACTCATTGACAAGACTCATTGATTGATACCAAAGATAGGCTCGAGTGTAAACTAACGATTTGACTACGGTGGTTTTCATTTCTTTCAGCTACCATTTTCTCTAATTCTAAAGCTAATTCTAAAGCTAATTCTAACCATCATGACCTCTAACCATTTCTACCTTTCCTTTTTTCAATCAAACATTTAAAAATGATTCAAAAATCCCAATTTCAACTTAAAGGCTGATGCTACGTGTGCTTGTTGCTTTGACTGTTCTGCCAATTGGTAGGTTTGCTTATAGTAAACTTTTCAAATCAAATTTTTCAAATCAAAAACATCTTTCCCATGTTTTCTCTTCTTTTCTCTTCTTTCAAAAAGCGATGACCTGAATCTTTTGTGATCGTGAAAAGAGAAAAGACAAAATCTCCTCAATGCATATCGTTGAGCTCAATCAAAGCGAGAGGTTTCACAGTGAATTGAAAGTTTTTTGGGTCAATGAATCGACTTTTACAGAGAATGTGGAAATTGCAAGATTATGCAAAAGATAGTCTTGTCTTCTGATAAAACAAAATTCAGCTTTCTCTCAAATCGCCGCCGTTTATTCAAATGCTTCTCGATCTTCCGAGTGCTCGAATTGGTCATCTTGGGGTTATTCTTTTAAAGCTTCAGAGTAAATTTCCATTTAGGACCATGTGTTTGGCCGGATAAAGAGTCCCCAGTTCCCTATATTCAACAATTAACCCCTGTCTGCCAGCAACATTGGTTCTACACTTTCATCAAACGCTATGAAACAGTATCATGAAGCTCCAAAGCCAAAAAAAAGTAATTTTTTAGGCGTTGAACAACTTCTACAACTATATGACATTCGTGATGCGTAAATTCGAGCCATGTGGGATGTGCATTTACAAGCAGAGTTGCGGCTTTGGTGGCGAGAAAAAGTGCAATGTGAGCCCGTTCACGTGAGAAGAAAAAGTCAAGGATTTTATAGAAAAGCTTTTTTAGGGTTCGCGGTGGCAGACCGGTGGTGCCATTTTATGTGGCGGAGAGGCTCTGCTCGGTGAGGGATCTCAATGGGAAAGGGCAACTGCAAGCATGTGAAGTCGATTATGATATGCTTAAGGTAAAGAAGAGAATTTGGGATTTGGTTGAGTGGAAACTCCAGATGGAATTCCAAGAAGTTTACAGAAATTTGAAGATCTGAATAAATGTAGGAAAATGGTGACGATGAGTGCACTCTTTGGCCATCACCGCGCGTCGATCTCTCATCGATCGAGCCGGTCTTCCGTGAGCACATTCAAACCCTCAAATGGTACTCGTGTCTACCGCAAATCAAGTAAAGTTTATAGGAAAACAAAAATTGAAGTGATTTCAGAAAATATCGAAGTAAATCCGGTAAGACTCGAAAGGAGAAAGTGTGTCGTTGCTGTTGCTTTCCATTCAGACCAAATCCAGTCACTTTCGAATGTGAACACCAGGTAAAATAGCAAAAAAAAATATAGTAAAGGAACTATTTTCTTGTCTAAACTAAACAAATAAACAAAGTATGTATACTGTTTAAACTCTAGAAGCCATGTAATTGTTGTATTAGACTCTCCAGAAAGTCTTTTCGTTTCTTTTCGTACTTCCGTTTTTCAACAAATACACCGATTGAACTACGGTTTTTTTCATCAGAAAAGTCAATTATTTTTCTGCAAAATAACATTAAAACCGGTTTAAAATGACTTTAAAATTATTTTTGGCTTTTTTTTGAGAGCCTGAAGGCGGGTAGTCCAAACGGCTCGATGATGCGGAAGTCGAGCAGTCAGGCGACGCTCGATGATGCTATTTAGATACTTTAGCATAATGAAACCTATTTTGGTGTCAATAGATAAAAGATAGAGCACAAAAAGTTTGGTATATAACTAAATTTTCAGAGAAATTCATTCAGCAAATTTCTTCGTAGAGGTTTTTGTTTTTACGAAAACCCCGGGTTTTCACTCTAGATTTTGGTTGAAAGTGAACGGAAATTGACTTGAAAAGATGGGAAATTGAACAAGAAATACATTTTATTTAGAGGAAATCATAAGTTAATTAATGAATATTTGTTATATTTCAACAAAAGTATGAAAAGAAACGAAAATATTTTCTAAACAAAAAGACTTTCTAAACGAAAACTAAACGAAAAGACTTTCTTTCTGAACGTTAGATACTTTTATCTTTTATATAATATGAGCTAAATGTTATTCAGTCTGATCTTCCTATGGCTCCCGGACAAGAACTATTGGGCGAAAATCTCCAATATGCTCGCGGACCAAAAACTAAATCAAAGAAAAGTCGAAGACGGAGCCGTAAACATCGTCAACACTGAAATCTTCAATGCTTCATTGCAAAATTTGTGCTTTAATAAAAACTTTGCTTTCTTTATTTTAAAACTGTTCTCTGAAAACCCTAAAAGCTATAGGGAATACAAATACAGTCATATATACATATTAAAGTGTAAAAAAAGAAAAAAGAATAATGGAGAAACTTGGGGCATCACAATAAGGCCTAAATGAGAAAATGGGGGAAAAATCATATAAAAATACTTTTTCTTTTTATGACAACATTTTTATTTGGGGGTTTTTTTTGGGAAAAGAGAAACAAATGAGGGTAGGCGAGGCACGGGTTGGCGAGTGTAAATTAAATGGATGAATGGACACATCAATTTCTATCTAATGCTGTGAAAACTTTAAAAAAGAGCCAAAAAAAGCTAGCAAGCTTTAAGGAAAAGAGGAAGCGATTGAGTTTTTGTAATATTGAAGATTTCAAATCCAAAAGTATCGCAAGGCACCTAGCCATTTCAAGATACTGTATGGAGAAAATGAAAAATCATGTGTGCTAGATAGTGTTCGTTTTCAAAGCACAAAGCACAAGCTTTTCGTTAGCTGACTGAAAAGCTGAACCTAAAGAAAACCTTTCAAATTTTCGCACTCCAAAGAAAAAAGTTGATATGACACAATCGCGGTTATTTTCAAGCTTAAAATGTAAAAGAAAATCACAAAATATGAATGAATTGTCATAAATTGAAGAACTCTTTGTTTTTTTCCTGACTTTCAATACAAGAAATCTATCATGAATCCGTAACAATTGAATGGGGAGAGAAAAGGAAAGGAAAAAGATTCAATTCCACAATTTCTATCACTTTCTAAAAACAAAGAAAAACACTGCTAAAGGAATGAAATCTCTGATAACAAAAAAAAACTGAATTAATTATTCATTTTCTTGAAATAAAAACAAAAAATCTTTTTTGTTGAAAAAGGTGAAACTGAAATCGGCAATTCTCTGGAAAATGGAGGGCACTTTTTCAGAAAAATGAGAAAACAAAACAGCATTTTGAGTTTATTAGCGCAAATATTTCTTTTTTTTTGAGCACTTAAAATACCTATAAATAAAGATTTTTAGAAAAATAAGTTATGTTCGGTACATAAAATAGAATTTTTTTTTTGCTAATAATTCATCTAAACTTTCACAAAGTTCTACTTTCAATGACAGGGGTCGAAAATGGCAATGTTTAAGAGTTAAAGTTTAGTTTAAATTTCAGAAAAATGAATATATAGATTTTGGTTAAAGATTAGAATGATGAGGGGATTATGATGGGAAAAGGACTAGATTTGGGCGATATGAAGAGCATTTAGGCATGGAATTCGGTGGGTGGCCTTTCGTCTTCTTCTGAAAAACATAGCAACGTTACATTGAATAGTTTGTTTTTAAAATCTAATTGTAAACTTAAATCTTTAGATTTACATTTGTTGACATTATTATATTTTGAGCTTTTTTGAGTCAAGCTTTATACGGAACGTAAAGAAAAGCAAGAGCGTGTCTAAAACCTAACCAATCCATTGGTTCTAGATAAAATAAGTTGCAAAGATTATGGCTTTTAGAATTTCTAATATAAAGCTGTAATATTTTTAAATTTTTTTTACCAATTTGAGTGGGATGTGGTGATGGTTGTGGGGTGTGGTAGTCGGAGGGCGAGGAGAGAGTGTCCGAAGCTGGATCTGCGCTCGGCACCTCAGCCACAACCTCCGTCTGAAATGACGATTTTCTTTAAATTATTCATAAACCATTTAAAGCTATTTAGTCAAAATTCGATATTGGCTTGGTGATCAGCTTTTCTGTCTGTCTTTTTAAAAAATCAAGGTTGGGTGAAACACCGGGCATCGAACCCGGATCGTGTGAGCCGTAGACAAGCCCTCAAGCCCTCAAGACTGCGCAAGGCGACAAGAGTCACGCATCAAAAACGAAAACCCCAAAACATCCAGCCAGAAAAACCAGCCGTTAGGCGGTCTTTAATATATTCGATAAAAAGATGGGTGAAAAGTAACCTGAGCCGAGGGCCTATCGGTTTCCATCGGAGAGGGACTCTGCGGATTGGGCACATTCGCCAGAACAACAACTGGTGGCTCGTTCTAAATTTAACACGTGTTCCATTAACAATTTTGCTGAATAAAGTATGCTAAAAAAGAAATGACAAAATACGATTTTTGGTACCTGATCGTGAAAGCCTGGATTCTTTGTGGGTTGATAGCGTGATGGTCGAGAGCATTTCTCCACAAAGTCCTAGATTTTTAGAAGATGAATCAAAGTTTTCAGTGGTAAAAGTACATCATATTCCACTATCAAAAGCTGCAATTGTTACCTTTTCTTCAAGACCTCGCAAGAGACAAACAAGCACGACAGTCATATTGTCACATCCTAATCCTTGCATTTGCGCATCCGGTGCCAAGCATCGCGTCAAAAGCTCTTCACAAATCTTAAATTTAACATTTAGTTTAAGATTTTCTCTATATTTCTTACAATTTGTGGCTCCCGTCCAGCCGCCAATCGATCACGACAGAAATCGATCACCTGAAAACGTTTTTGATGGGGAATTTAAATGACTCTCACTTCTTGATTGCTCATCACATCCCAAATTCCATCACAGGCAAGCACAATAAACTCATGATCATCTTGAATATTTTCCCGAATCACATCAGGGAATGCTAAAAAAGTTTAACTTGATAAATGATTTGTTTTTTTACCAGTGACAAGTTGTTTCTCAGGTGGCAGATTCTGGTTGTTCTTGAAGCCGAAATCTCCGAGAGCTCGTGAAAGAGCCAAATTACCATTCACTCTAAATATTAAATTAAAATCAAGCTGAATTTTTGATGAAAACCTTTTACAGTCGACAAATCCACCAGCGGCAATGATTCGCCGCTGTTCTTCTTCGTTGTCGGGTTTATGATCATAAGATAATGGGATCGCTTTGCCGCACTCCGAAAGCACGGCACGAGAATCACCAACATTACCTAGAAAATTTTTACCATATTTACTCTAATAGAAGATTTCTATTTTCTAATTTTACTGCTAAATCAAAAATACATCTATCTAGAGCCATATCTATAACTTTAGCCAAAAAGAATTCCTGAAAAGTCTCGATTTTGAGAAGTCAAAGGAGTGGTCTTCTATGAGAGACTTCTTCTATTAGAGAATTTTTCTATTAGAGAATTTTTCTATTAGAATAAATAGGGTATATGTATTGTAAAAGCCAAAATAAATGTTAGATAGACTTTCATTATGACTTTAAAAAAAACTGACCACAATAAACGGTATCTCTTTGAACGAGGACGACAACAGCCGTTGTGCCCGATCCGTCATCTTTCATCTCTTCATCAGCTCTCATCTTGTCATCCATTCCCAAGAAGCCTTTCTTCAGCGCTCCCTCAATATCACCGTCCTCTAAAAACAAATTTTGCAAAAATTTCTGATATTTACAAACTATATTCTTGTTGTTGCACGATGTTCTTGTGAAGATGAATGCCGGCATATTGGGACACTTTTGCTCCACCATGTCCATCATAAACAGCAAAGAAGGCAGTGTTCGGATCATCGGGTAGGGATAACAAATGCGTGTGCGCGTCCTCCATCGCTAAAATTTGATTGTGTTCCGTTTTAAGTCATGAAAGCGCTAGAATTTAATTGTGTTTAGTGTTTAATTCGTTTCTTAGTCCGAACTTTCCGTTGGGTTTGTTCGAGGAAAAGTCTTTAAAACTATAAACTATAAAAGTTTTGCCAACTATAAAAACTTTTATTCTATAAAGTCAAACACTTACTCGTCCTCCATCCTTGCATACAACTGCTTCCCACTGAGAAAACCTTGTTCGCACACGAAGCGCTTTCTTTTGTGGTGATCGGCTCGCTGAGCGTTTGACCCATTTCTTCACTTCTAAAAGCACCCAAATTAATAAAGATGTAGACACAAAAAATTTGAAAAACACGAAAAGTTCCTCTTGGCAATTTATAGATGATCTTTTTCTTGACATTCGTCTTTTTTGTTTTGAATTTATAAGTGTCCGCGAGCGATCTCACAGGATAGCAAAAGAAACAACGTTTCTATCAAAAATTGTACAAGGAATAGCAAAACTAAAAAAAGGTAAAGAACGTTAATTAATGAGAAAGATTTTTGTAAGAAATTTTCTAAAGTTCGATTCATTAAGCGGAAAAAAACTCGTAGCTTCAAGTCGAAAGCAACAATGGGACAATTAAAGCGAGTCAATCAATTGAAAATCAATCAAGGGATAGAAAAAAAGACAAGATGGCAAATTTCAGGAAAAAAAACGGACAAGGGGAACTTTCGGAGAAGTATAACGTTCAATGGGAATTGGAGAGGGGGAGAGATAGGGGAGCGATAACCCCTCGACAACCCATACGCCGCCCCTTTACCCCTCACCCGCAGCCCAATCCAGCCCAGTGACGAGATTTGTGGTGCTGGAAAAACTATCAGTTTTACCGTTAGTGGAAATACTTTAAGCCTTTGCTAGTCGGTAGACAATTCTAGGCCTTTTCCATCCATCCTTTGGATCAATCATTTGATTTGATCAATCATCAATCATTGATCAATCATTTTCAAATGTTTTAGATTACAAAATTTAAATTCTTATACATTTCTTTGATTAGCTTTACTTTAATTAGCTTTAATTAGCCTTAATTCAAATAATTTGAGTGCCAGAATTTTCTCGAAATATGATGTTGATGAAATTTTCATTTCATGCTATGTTGAAAGATAAGATTTATGGGGTTTTAGGTAAATATTTGTGAAAACTAGTATCGTTTTACTTTTTCTAGAATTTAAACTCAAGCCCCGGACATTTGCTTTATTTGCTAAAACTTTTTCATTTAGCCAAACCAAACCAAAATCAGATTACGAGAAAATTCCTGCGTTTTTCGTCATTTTCACTCATCGGATTAGCAAACTTATTTAGAAGAAAGCTTCAAAACGATCAGCTGAAACTGCAGGAAAAAAAAGTGTTGACTTTAAAATAAATCGATATATCTATAAAATAATTATATTTACAAACATTGACTACAAGACTACGTTGCCTTAAAGGCATTTAAAGTTAAGAAAGCTAAAATTTATTTAAAATTTGTTTATTAAATTTCAAATTCTCTATACTCTTCTATCTACAAGCTTAACAAAGAACTCTTTTAATCCATATTTCTCAATGAATCAGCAAAAAAAAGACAGATGATAGCAAAAAGAATCTCAATACGAAGTAAACAAGTTTTCGTTGAATGAAAATTCGTATTAGAAAAAAAAAAAGAGATAAAATAATAAAAACTGAAATTCAGGAAAAGGCGATTCAGAAATTCGGAGATTGATCTTTGGGGAAAGAGGGAGAAACGGGGCACATTTTGGTGCAAACTCGCGTGATACGCAGGTCAGAGAGGGTGGTGGGCTGTGAATTGGGAAAGCAATGAAAGAAAAAAGAAGGGGGAAAGAGAGAAAAATGGAGAGAAATTTCGGGAGTGAATGAATGTGGAAAGAAGAAGGGGGAAAGGCGGGAGTGACGAGAAGGTTAGAGGCTAGAGCACGAGGGTCGAGGACAGATGGGAAGCGGAGGGGCACCGTTTAGAAAAACCATTGACATTTTGCTCTTTCATCTCTCGACTTTATGAAATAGAGCTAGTATATTAATGCTAACGATTTCCAACAGAGTGCTGTAGTGAGTTTATTTCACAGCCCTAAAGGTAGCAATAAAAGAATGGGATTAGTAAAGGTCTAAAGGTAAATAAACACTAACACCATGAAAATTCGTCAACAGTAAAAGGAAAACTTATTGAAAGCACAAGAACACTTATCTTGCTTGATAACAAAGCAAAAATAAACACAAAACCAGAAGATATTAAACGTTTCAGGATATGAACCAGGTAATATACTCTGTTCTGATAAATCTACAATCTGCTATCGTTATTATAGAGGCACACGATGCTCCGTTTCTGCAAAACCCGGAGATATTGCGAGCTAGTACTTTACGGGAATCGCCAGAAATAGACTTGCTTAACGATCCTGAACTAAACGGAAAAACGTAGCTGCCCCATTTGTTGACTTTTTGAGGTAGGCTAATTTCCGCAATTTTTTTTGCGCAACTCGCCATAACTTTCTTCTAAATGGACGAATCTTTATGATTTTAGTTTCATTTTGTAGATCCTCAATAAGTGCAACAAAATGAAACCAAAATCATAAAGATTGATTCACTTAAAAGAAAGTTATGGCGAGTTGCGCAAAAAAATGCGGAAATTAGCCTACCTCAAAAAGTCAACAAATGGGGCAGCTACGTTTTTCCGTCACAGTGCCTAGCTGCCCCATTTGTTGGGTTTTACTTGGAAAATCAAAAGATATTCAATTTTCCGCTTTTTTTAAAGCTACAAGCCTGGTACCGTTAAGAATAGTCTAGTCAGAAGCCATGTAAGCCGGAAGCTGAATTAATCAAATATAATCTCAGATCACCTTGCTGGAGTTGTGAAAGTCTATTGTTAGATTCACGCCCAGTTTCCCATTCAGCTAAAAACTCTTTCACTACGTTTTACGTACTTTTCCTACAGACTGTTTTTTGTTTTCTTCAACAAAACCCATTTTTTACTGGAGAAATCTTCTGAAACCACTTTCAATTTCTTGCAGAGTTAATAACTTTTTGTGTGTGTGTGTGTGTGTACGTATTGTGCTGATTTTCTTTTGGTGATAATGAGCAACAATCCCATGAGGATTTTCAGACAATCTTACTGTAAACTTGTGCTCTAATTTCCTGCGGGATTTCACCCAAAGAAACTCTTCACAGCTCTTTCACAAAGAAAGAAAAGTGATTACCGAAAGTTTACATAAAGAATGTAAAGTCTAAAATAATATTCTTTTTCTTTTTTTTTTGTGAAAAAATTCGTTAATCTTGCGATTATTCAGTAGTTTTTTTGAAGAAAATAGACAAAAAGATCGCAGTTTTCGGTCAGTTTTCTCTTGAATTTTGATAGGATCAGATGGGCTTGTTCGCGCACCCGGTTGTCATTATGTCTATGTACAATTTGGGCCATCATTTTAAACCATTCATTTTTACTTTCAGTTGACACATAGTTTTCAGTATTTTTATATAATTTTTGCATAAATTTAGAGTAAATCGTGATGAAGGCTTTGGTAGAATTGAGCTCGTATGACGATCTAACTAGAAGTTTTCGTCGGATTTGTTCCAGAGCTTTTGACTACAACAGCTACAGGTCAATTTGAGAAATAGACTAGTAAAATAAAAGCAGAAGCTAGTAAAATACAGCTAAAGTATTGAAATTTCAATTTGCTTTACTTTGAGATACATTTTAAATTCAAGTTTCAACGATTTCACAACGATTATGGATGAAATTCGCCATTTCTCGTGTCCCAATCTCGTCTCTTACGAAGCTCGACCACTTCAGAAAGAGGTAAATGATTATTCCCAGAAAATCAGAGCCATCAAAAATTCCCGCATCTGACCCTAGAAGACCCCGTTCGGTGTATATCAATGAATAATTTTGGGGAGAGGTTGATGGGTGAGATGAGGGGACTCTCTCATTCTTTCCTCTTTCATGCCCTCCCCTTTTTCCCCGTTATAGGTCTTCTCATCACGATGCCCTGTCCCGACTTTCCGATTACCTTTCAACTCCCTCTTTTCTCCATTTATATCTTTTCTTCTCTCGTCAAAAACTTATAAACAAGCCAATTTCCATGGAAACCGAGTTGGCTGAGACGCTCTACATTCTCCATTTTTTTTACATCCTCAAGGATTCCCACAGTTTTCATTAATTTTTTGCTTATACACAATTGAAGTTTTATTGCATTATGTAAAGGGATAGGAATTTGACTAAAAGTTGACTTTTGGGTTTCAAAATAAGCTTCAAAAATGAGCTTCTTAAACTTCTTTTCATTTTTTTTTGTACTGGAAGAGGCTATGGGAAGAGAGATAGGTTGACAAAGCCAGTTTTCAATTAAAAAGTTTATATACTTATTAGTATCAGATAAACTATAAGTGTACCCTAAATATAGCTGAACCTTTAGCGTTAACAATTTACACCAAGTGTTCCCAAGATAGGCGTGTGAGGCTTGTTTTTCCTGGGTGTTGCAATGGGTGCCTAGGAAAATGGAAAAAAAAGGAGAATTTCATTACTTCTCGCTCATTTGCAGTTGGGTCCCCTCGCTTCCACTTGGGCGCTTCAATAATGAATTTCGGTGGGGAGTCCTCTTCTCTTCTTCTCTTCAACAACCCCTTCTTCCACTTCAATCCTCTCAGTAAAGTGAAGGCTCATTTCTCGTTCATCTCCTCTTCTTTCTCTTAACTTCTTTCCTTTTCTCTCATTCTCTTCTTCTCACTTATAGAATACACAAGTCGTGTTCCTCCAGGAATAGTTATTCTCGTCGAAATTCTCACTTCATCGCGTGTCTTTCAATAAAAACGATTCAAACAACTTTACAATAAAACTAATTATACGAAATTTAGCTAGCTAGCTAGCTTCAATTCATTTTACTTCACTATAACTATTGCCCTTTCAGTTGTCTCCCAATTTTGAATCTATCTGTGCTTATTGTTTTCATTTCTTTTATAAATAAATTAAACTGAGACCAAACAAAGATGATGAAAGATAAGAGGCTTTGATGTATCCGAAAAGAAATGAAAACAAAATTGGAAACTGGAGGAAAGGTCAATTTCGAGAAGGGAACCCATTTACATAAACAAATTTGTGTAATATCATCACAAATTCGAGATGGATAAGCTGTTTTTCAAATTCAGAAATTACAATTTTACAATTACAATTACAATTACAATTACAATTACAATTACAATTACAATTACAATTACAATTACAATTACAAAAAAAATCTTTACCCAAATCTTTATCAACAAAGGTTAATCATACTAAAAAAGATCCAGTGTGGCTGATTTCAAAATGTTTCCTTTAAGCGTCGAATTCAGCATTCAGTATTCAAAAAAAAAAGACAACCCCGTAGCTTGTGCTGACACCAATACAAAGCTAAAACATTCTATGAAAATATTCATCTTTTTCAGTGGTCGTTTAAAATTTAAAGTACTGATCAGTGAGTCTAAAAGTCCATTCAAGAAGGAAAAAAAAAGAAGGCGAGGCCAAGTCACGCGCACCACGTCCCCTTTCTTTCAAAGATTCTCTCTCAAAGCTAGACTCAAAAGAAGAGGGGAAATTCCTTATTCCAAATAAACTTTCACCGAAACGTAAGAAAAACGAAAAAGAGATGAGAAAGCCAAACATGGGATCGCTTCCGGGCTTTCACACATATGCTTTGTCGATCTTTTTCATCTCAACCATTAACCGATTTCCCACCAAAGAACATCTTCTCGAGCCAAAAAAAGAGAAATGAAGGTTATCCACAAATATTTACTCTGTGTCACCCTTTCCCCCCAACCGATTCGTCAAAAATTCCCACATTCACCCCTTTTTTTTAATTCATTTTCATTACTTCTTTTTTCATAAACAAAAATTTTCTCTAGAAAATCATGTACCAAATTAATTTTCTCCTCTTTCTTATTCATTTTTTTTGGGAAGAAGTGTATTCGAAGACTTATTTGAGATCCTCAAGTACAGCCAACCATATTGGGACACTTTTTTTTCTTATAAGCCGATTATAATCCACGAATTCAAGATAGCTTTCCATGATTTCTTTTCTATCAATAGGATTTAGAGTCTTTCAAATACTGTTTATAATATCCAAATCAATAGTAAAATTGTTGTTTACATTGATTTCAATAAGGGATAAATCAATAGTAAACTCGTTGTTTGCATTGATCTCGTTTCCTCACGTGTGCTCAATTTATAAATGTTTTATTCAAAAATAAAACGCGACTCAACTTGAAAATACACGTAGTGTTGTGTTAAAAAAAGCGCCACGTGAGACAATTTCAATCTTTTCTTTCTCTTTCTCTCTCTCTCTCTCTCTCAACAAACAGTTTTCATTTGTCTCCTCTTCGCTTTTTTTGCCGAAACGTTCTTTATATCTTTTTATGAAACGATCATTTGCCAAAAATAGCTCAATTAAAACAAGGGAAAAATTCCCGGGGTTTCATCTGCCATATTCTGGCCAGGAAATTGGACTTTTCCAGCTGTTGATTGGTGGCTTCTGATGCTGTCCGTACCCAAGGAAACGATATCATTCTCAAAAGAAATGAAAAAGGGAGTGACCTGAAAAATTTCGAAATACGATAGAAAGTGAGGGTAAAGGATAGAGAGGGAAAAGGGGGAAATCACGAAGAAGTTCAGTGAAAGAAGAGAGAAAACGCGGAATTCGAAAAGAGAGAATGGCGCCTGGCAGCCGCCCGCCGTTGGGTAGGGGTCCGCTTGCTTCCCCCTCCCCCGTGGGCCTCCCATTTCCCAGTTGGAGGCATGGTAAAATGGGTCCTTTCTTTTCTTCCTTTTCACCCACTTCTTTCTCAGCCATTTCCATCTCGATCTCATCTCTCTTTGACTCGCCCTCACTGCTATACTCTTCATTCCGACTCTCTTGTCTTCTCTTTCATTTTTGTTCGCCCATTCCTGGCCTCTGGCTTGATGTGTTGTTTTGGCATCTTTCCCTGGGCTTTGGCCTTATAACTTCACGTCGTACTTTCAAAATTTCAGATCCAGAGATTAATGATACAATTAGAGTTATAATGAAAAGCAGCTCCTTTTCATGGGCAGGTCTAACTCAACTCTAACTCTAACAGCTCTAACTCAAGTTTAAAGAAGAATTTCGATCTATTCAAAAAAGGTTGAGGGTATTATGTTTAGTCTATCCCCTCCTTAATTGGATGATTCATGATCTTGACGTTTAGGGCTCATTTTGAAAGAGCCGCTCAAAAAAAATGTTCTATATATTGAGCTGAGTATTTAAATAATCGTTGGCCTCGAGCCAAGAAATTTGCTTTTCAAAGATTCGTCGTTTTTCATAAATAGTCTCCTTTTTTTTCTGTCGCTCGGCTCGGATTTGGGGGTGGTCTCGAATTTCACCCACACTCTCGTATCTTTTTTCCCATCCCCTGAACAAACTTCGTTCAATCGGCAAAATACTACGCTGAGATTCGAGAATAAGTGAAAATTTACATTTACTTTCATTTCTGTGAACTTCAATTTAAACTAAAGAAAATCTATCTTTCTAAATGTGTATAGTTTACTCAGCACTATTTCATTCATTAATAGTTTCTACTTTAAATACCTCTTTACTTCACTCACCCAAATCCGACTTCTCAACAGTTTTTTGTTCAGATTTCATTTCCCCATAAGATCAAAAGTGACTTCCCGCCGAAATTCGCCGATCGAATTGGGCAAATAGAGAGAGATTTCCTCCGCTCACACTTTTTTTTATCTCCTTTGTGTGAACGATGAAAGGCGAAATCAAGAACGAATCGCCGAAATTGATTCACCGTGATAAGGATTCAGGATTGAGGAGAGAAGTCGATTTGATGTCACTCGAAACATTTTCGTTGATTAAAAGTTAATCATATTGGGGGAAAATCTCTGGCCTCCCCCTTTTTTTTGCCATAAGCACAAATACGTGCCAAATTTGTAGATAGGGAAACGCGGCAACGTTTCTCCTTTCTTTTTTATGGCTTTATCAAAACAGCTCTCGCTTCACCCGGCTCTTCAACAAAATAATCTCGCTTTCATCAGATTCTTTTTTTTACGATCTGGCAATATTATTTTATTTACATATGACCAAACATTTTCTGGTTATGATTTGACCATTTTTGGCCACGATACTCTGAACTTCATTCCTTTTATGGCATTTATCTTTTTTTATTTGCAATTGATGGTGTATCTAATTCTAGTTTAGGGATTACATGATTGACACCTTTTAGGGGGGTAACGAGGGAAAGGGGACCCCACCAGAGCATGGAAACGCTTTTTCAGAAGAAGCCGGCGGAGCTGGCTGTGTGTGGCGGGAGGAAAAGATGGAAATGGAAAAAGGGGGAGCTCGCGCGCCACCGGAATCGATAATATATGTGGACGAGAGCAGGGGGCCCGCTTCACCCTCCTTTCACTCCATTCTTCTCATTCTCTCATCCCCCGTTCTCGTTTTGGGTTATTTTGCCAGCATTTTGCTCTCTTTCTCCTTTCCATAACTCCCCAAAAACAAGGACTCTATTTTTGTGACTCCGTGTTTTGCCTTTGAAGTTTTACATAAATTCAGATTAATTCACGCTATTTAAACTTTATTTTATGAAATTTCTCAGCTAAATAGATGCAGTGCTCAAAGATAACCAACGTAAATAAAGGAATTTTCAGGCTTCTATGAGCCTCGTGGAACTGAGGCGAAACAGCCTGCCACAAGTGGGGACAGGCTAGTTTTGACGAAACAAAGTTGATAATCTTTTTTTCTAGGACTATCAACGGAGCCCGTTTTCCGCAAATCATCACATCCAGCGCAATTTCTACACAATAACAACAACGCTTGTTATGAGAATGAGCCACCGCCACGCAAAGCCAGCAAGGTTGGTGTAAAATAAAAAATTTTCGTTATAATCGCTCTTTCTTTTTTCACATTTTTAAACGTTAAACTCTTTTGACTCCAGAGCACTACTATGTTTAATGAAATCGTTGCTGTAAGATTCCATTAAATTTAAATTCATTCCGACAATTGAAAATCTTTAAATGCCGGTGCAGTAGGCTAATTTTTCTTTTACAGCCATTTTCTTGAGGTTGCCAAAAATCCGCAACAAAATTTATACTCTTTCTTTGATTTCTTTTTCCCCAAATAAAACGTGCTGTAAGCGGCCAAGGCGTTATTTCTCTTTGTGGTTTTTCTTCACTAAGGGGAGAAACATGGGCGATCCCCACATTTCACCAAGAGATCAAAATGTTGCGGAGGTGCCCTCTATAAAAACAGTTCGGCGCCATTTGGCCGCTCCTGAGCGAGATATCGAAAAAGAGAATGTGATAGAGAAAAGGGGAGGGGGGGTCGAAGCAAAAAAAAAATGATAACGAGAATCGAAAGGGGAAAACCCATTCGGTCAAATATTGACAAACAAAAAGCTTGTTCGTCGCTGAATCCTTTAATCATTTTCCACATGTTTTTGTTGAAAAGAAAATGACTAGTGTTGCGTAGTTTAAAAAGTTGCTCTTTCTATTTACGATAGTAATTTCTGATGAAATTGAGGGAAGAAAGCGAAAAGGGGAGAGAAAAATTGTCAACTACGAGGGGAGGGGTTTTTTTGTCATGACAAGGGCATGGGAGTGAGAAGACTAATAAGAAGCCATTTATTATGTGTTATTTCTCCTTTTTTTCCCTTTTTTTGGTGGTGGCGTCTCCCCGGCGCTCTCGAATTTTTTTGATTGATGCTATCGATCGAACACCCCTCGGCTTCTCGCCTTTTAGACCACTTTTATTGACCCCCGTTCGCCCTGAGTTTTTCTTCTCTTTCAACGAAAAGAGTTTTTTTCGAAAATGTTGCCAGCTCTTTATTAGCTTGACCCATGTTGAGCGATAGTACAAATTAGTAAAAATGTTTTTTTAGCAATAACCCATGAGAAACCTGTTTCAAAAACTTTATTAAGCGTTCTAACGTTTTTCAAGTTATCTTTTAGCTTTGAACTTTTAAATGCTTTCTTTGTCATCTTTTATATGAATGGTTTATTTTTTAAAGTTTCTAAACATTTTGATTTAGGACGATCTCGCTGTACCAAGTGAACGATTGCAACCACGTACTTGTACACCACAGGTAGTTGTTTTTTTGATCATTTAATGATTGTTATGCTTTAGATCTTCCATCGTTTATTGGCACAAAGTGAAGATATGAATAATCTTGTACATTCGATCACACAAGAAGCTAAAAGCTTGTTAAATGCTGAAACGTGAGTTGGAATTCAATGTTTCTAAAAACAATCGATAACGTCATCGTTATAAATTAAAGGACTAATTTTTATCGTTATGATTTAGATGTTCTCTATTTCTCATCGATTCTGAAAGGAAGGAATTAGTGGCTGAGGTAAATTCATCGAATTCTTGCTCAAGATTTAGCGTCCTTTGTTTAGATATTTGACCAGAGTGACAACTTGACAGAGGTCCGATTGCCAATGGATAAAGGAATTGTTGGCCGAGTTGCTAGCACGGGTGTTGCGATGAATGTGAAAAACGTTGCAAGGTTTTGAGTTTTGAAGTTTTAAATACTCTATCATTTTTCTAGGTGTCCATTCTTCTATCGAACTGTCGATGAAATGACAGGTTTTCACACGAGAAATGTTTTGTGCGTTCCGATTCGCGACAACTCAGGTGATCTTTAGTTTTTTTGCACAATACTTTACTTCCTCAAAATGATTGGGGAAAATCTGAATCAAATTCATCGTTTTTACCTCTTGACCTAAAAAATTTACTCGAAGAGCTCTAACTAGTGTGAACCTAGGACAACTGCTTACGAGCTTACAATGTTTTGTTCTAGGAATGTTACTTATTAATCTACTAATGAAACACGGGACATAATCAGATTTCATAAGAATTCTCCTTTGAATTACTGCTTAATTCCATATTGGTTTCGATCAACATCGGCCTGTACAAATAGTGGGGCAATAGTATTGCGACCAGTCTTTTCGCTCTTGAAAATTTTTGACTTTGATCTTGTCATTACTATTCCAACTCAAACTTTATTTACTGTGTACTTATTGAAAATATTTAGGGGCTTTCGTGGGAGTAGCGGAGCTATGTAATAAGATCGGCAAATCCAACTTTTTCACACGACAAGACGAGGCGATTGCCAGAACATTTGCCGTCTACGCCGCCACGAGCATTAGCCATGTAAGTGATGTAATTTTAAGTAACTAAAAAGATTTAAACTTGAAAATTTTCACATCGTCTATTAGAAGAAGAAAGTATTTGCTTCAGAAAATTTGTTCAGCATCAAACCTTGCTTTTTAGTGCTTACTCTACCGAAAAGTGCAAGAGGCGCAACGAAGATCTCATATGGCTGCTGAACTTCTCGTTCAAGGATCTCAATTACTAGTGAGTTTTCGCAAAGTATGAAATTAGTTTCGTTTATGTTCTAGCTTATATTTTTGTTTTAGGTTTCATCCGAAGAAGTCAAGCACCTAACCGAACAATCAATTCTCCCGGCGCTTTCATTTCATCCGAAGTTCGACCAATTTTATTTCACCCCTCGAATCATTGGTGACTCGGAGACGTATGTGAGGGCTTCGCAATCAATGTTTCAGGTATTTTTGATCAATTTATTAACATTTATAAACTTGAATTTAGGAATTGGGTTTCATTCAAAGATACAATATTCGGCGGGATCGATTGGCTCATTTTTTGTTGAGAATCAGCCGTGGATATCGAGATGTGCCCTACCATAATTGGAGTCACGCCTTTTCGGGTATACTTTTGGTATTTAAGAAAAGTAAACCTAAAGATTTAGTTGCCCATTTTTGCTACCTGCTGCTACGAACAAGCTCGGTAGTGAACTCTCTTTCGGAACTGGAACAATTGGCCCTGCTTATTGCTTGCTTATGTCACGATATCGATCATCGTGGAACCAACAACACGTTTCAAATCAAATCCGTAAGTTTTAAACTGTTTTCCCAATCTTTCTTAACAATATTACATAGAAAAATCTAGAAAATGTAAAACTGTCAATTTAAATATCCCAAGTAAATAATTTCGTAACTTAGCGCACGCCTCTTGCACAATTGTACAGCAGTGAGGGATCGGTCTTGGAACGTCATCATTATGCACAAACTGTTTCAATTCTTGGCATGGACGACTGTAACATTCTCGATCAACTTTCGAAAGAGCAGTATCAGCGGGTACAATATTTTTTCAAAGTCTGCACTAATATTTTTGTTTCAGGTCTTATCACATATTCGGGATATCATTTTGGCGACAGATATTGCGGCTCATTTGAATAAAGTGGACAGGATTAGACGAATGATTGATAGTATCTATTCAAAAAGAAAGTTTTGTGACGATCACTTTTAGATGGCTTTAATGTGAGCAAACAAGAGGATCACTACCTATTATTATGCCTCTTGATGACGGCTTCTGACCTTTCCGACCAAAGCAAGGAATTCCATTACAGCAAACAAATAGCGGTTGGTAAATTTCCGAAGACTTTTAAGGATTTTTCAGGAGTCTGTCTATTGTGAGTTCTTCTCGCAAGGAGATCTGGAGAAGCAAATGGGTGAGCCTCCAGTGGAAATGATGGATCGAGATCGAGCATTTGTTCCCCAGCTTCAAATCGATTTTCTTGACAACGTCGCCATGCCCGTTTATCAGTAAGTATTTGACAGGATTACTTTTACCGATATTGATAAAAGTTCTTTATTTTTCAACAAAATTTTAACTTTAGAATGCTATCGTACGCCGTGCCTGAAACTGTGGACACGTATACGGGCATTCAAGCTACACGAAAACATTGGGGATCGCTTCACGGTTTGTTCATTTGAAATTTGATTTAGTGTTTGGTGTCTATAATCTTTAATTTTAAAGTGTTCTTGATCTAATAAAAATTATTTTTGAAGTTGGGGTTGGCTCCTACCCGATACCTAGGCTAAACTACGATTGCACAACAATCGTGGCGGCGTAGGCAGCCCAACCTCAAGCACTTTCCGACACAACAAAGCTTATAGCTCAAACCAATTCAGAAAAACTACCGTAAAAGCTCTAATAGAAGACCCCCTATAGGAGCATCACGTGGTCTAAGTTTACACTCAAAGAATTGCTCATATCTCTACACCAGTACGTTTCTTTCTGCGCGCTTGGGTATCAAATTAAAATAGAGAATGGGTGATTTTTTTGAGATATAACACATTTTAGCATTAACCAGCGCTTTAAAAAATTATTGAAAAGTGGCAAGAAAAACCGATTTTTCAATCATTTTGTTCTAATACTTTTTTCATACACAATACGCTCGCAAAACATTTATCCAAATCCTTTTGGATAAATGTTTTTCTTTTTTTTGGCGAAAAAGAAGACTTTTGCGACAAGGAGCACCATTTAGGAAACACAGACAAAACAAGTGCGAAATAGAATTAACGTGCAATCTTTAGAAGTCCTTCGTGAACGAAATGAGCCAGTTCTCGGGTTGGAATTTCTACGTGATGGAGGTCTTGAAAGAGAGGTTGTGCGACGAGTGACAGGCAAAGATCCCGGGCCATTGCTCGAAGACAGTGAACCAAATAGCTCTCGGGGACGACGGGTAGAGTTTTTATTTTTATTTGTTTGTTTCAACAAAAGCACTTTAACTATAAAACTTTGATAATGAATGAAACTGATAATTCATTCTCTATCAACAAATTTCTTTAGTCTGCTCCAACATCAGCCCGAACCACCCGTCGAAGCTGACTAGCGCAAACGCTGAGCCGTTTCTTCCGAATTTCACAATCCTGATGCGGGTTTTCAATGAGATGAGCTTTCAAATAGATTAACTACATCGTTTTTTAATCCTACTCATTGATCCTGCTCAAGATCTAGTAAGTCCATTCCGGTGAAATCAAAGTATTCTTTTATTTCATCTGAAAATTCGGGAGCAACGCGATTTTCTCATGATTTCCCTTCCCCACAATAGTCGCGTTGTGGTTCAGCGTTTTACCTGGTTTCCTTTCTATTTAGCTCGTCAAGAAGCAATTCATTGGCAAACAAATGACATTAGTAACTTTCCATATCCAATGCTTCTTGACGAGTAGTACAAACATTCTCCTCTCTATTGACCAGTAAACCCACGGGTAGAGTCTTTTTTCTGTATATGCTCGATCTTGTACTTTCCTGAAGATAAATTAGCCTATGATCGCCATTTTATCGACTCCGACAAAAAAAATGTATATTCCTGTTTAATAGATTGCCTTTGAATGTTGACGTGGGCATTTTTGCTTAACGTGGTTTTGGAAACACTAACTCCTGTTGAAATCCACGTCAATATTCATTTCTCACTGGTGCCTTTGTTTCTGGGTGTCTCATATCATATGCCACATTCTTCATAGAACGTGTAGATATAGTCAAAATCTCCAATGTATTCAGTCCATTTTTATTACTTTTTGGAATCATATTTTCTTATTGTTTGCTTTTGAATAATCAAGTATTGATGTAAATTATCACCATCTTATAACGCTTTTTAGATTTAATCTAATGTATTCACCAATCTTGCTCACTTTCTAATGTAGTTAAAGCGCAACGCTTTGAATATATTACCGATTTTTGCTTTCTTTCTGCATCCTTTAATAAGATTTGCTGCAGCTTCCGTGACAATTGTGATCTATTTTAAAGTCGGACTTTTCAATTTGATTTTATTATCGTTAATGCCTTTTGTGGATTAAACGATTTCACAAACTTGAGCGACTTGACGAATACAACTTGAACACCAACAACACAAACAAATTTAGCTCATCAGGGTTTTTGGAGGAAATGGGCTTTCCTATACAGAATATGCAAATTTGTCAGTGCTATAGATGCAGATAAACCGAAGATGCGCCCCTTCTTTGAATTTCTCGAAGGGAATTTGAAACCCGATCCCAAAGCGGGAAGGCACCTCCCAAATTGACCGAGGATGCATCCCATTCCGTAGGCAATCAATGCCATCTTGAAGCTATTTTCTTAATAAAAATGTTAACAATTGTGAGTTATTGACGATTGTTGACACTCAGTTTTTCTTCACTTCATACAATAGTTCTCCTTTTAGAGAAATTTAGTACAATATTTTGAGTGCTTGCATTTTGAGAGCTAGTTTTTTCCTTCTTTAGCTGATCAAAGCTTTTCGTTAGTTTTTACTGTTAACTTAGGATTTTTAGTGCTTTTGAATGGGAAAAGTCACTAGGCCTGGGCATTTTGCACATCAGAAAAAGCTAAATGAGCTGAATTTGATTTGCGGTCACTGGTACTGAATTTCTGGGGTAGGCTAGTTTCCGCAATTTTTTTTGCGCAACAGGGTCATTTGCGCAACTGGGTCGTTTGCGCAACTCACCATAACTTTCTTCTAAGTCGGTCAATCTTTATGCTTTTGGTGTTATTTTGTTGCACTTATTGAGATCTACAAAATGAAACCAAAAGCATAAAGATTGGCCCACTTAGAAGAAAGTTATGGCGAGTTGCGCAAAAAAAGTCGCGGAAACTAGCCTACCCCGAATTTCTTTCTAAAATGCTCAATGGCTTTTACGACGAATATTGGAATATTGAAATGTGCCAAAGCAAATCGCTCAAACGTCAATCAAGGTGAGCGCGAGTTTGCGAGTGGCGATTGGTGCCCGAGGATTTGTGTGCAGGATCGACGAGGTGTCGACAGCTTGGATTTCCCTCGCCTCTGAAGGTGCTCCCCTCCCCGCTTGCAACGAGACAAATTACACAAAATATAGAGCCGTCCACCCTGCCCCGTCTTTAGCCTTCACTAAGGGACTCATCTCCCCCCGCTCAAGTCACTCACTCACTTTTCAGTCAGTTGGCGCCCCTTGTTGCGAGAGTCGAGTGCGAGTGCCACCCAACCACCGCCTTAATGCACACACGCACCATGCGCTGCTCACTCTATCATTTTGATTTCTTCCATCCCCTTTGCCCATCAGCAGCAGATATAAAGCTTTCCCCTGATTTCCCCCTACCTTAATATGTAATACTTTTTCTATGCAAGCTTTGCAATGACCGTAAAGACTCTAATAGAACACCACCCCCATAATGGGCGTACAGTCGCGTAGTCTAACTTTTTATAATAAAGGGCGTACAGTCGCGTAGTCTAACTTTTTATAATGAAGGGCGTACAGTGGCGTAGTCTAACTTTAAACGTCCCATTCTCCGTGCTGCTTTACGCTACAGTGTGCGCTTGGGTGTTAAATGATAGCCCTTGATATCTAGTATTTTTTCGCACCAAAAGCGTAGTTGGGAAAAAGTCTAGGAGCTGAGAAAAATTATTTTCTAAAAAGAAGTTAAACTACGCGGCTGTACGAGGGTGTCGTTCTATTAGAGTATTTACGACATCCACTTTAGCTTTTTGTTGAAAAATCCCACTTTTCTTTTCGTCTTTAGACTTTTTGTAAAGAAGAGCACAACACATCTCTATTCTCATTTCCATCAACTTGCCCCAATGCCCTTTGCAAAAACTTCTAAAAAAAGCGCTTGAGCGGAAATTTCTCAAGGCAAGAATGGATTCAATAAACTAAGGACCACTTGCCTAATCTTCGTTTAGTTTTTTAGTCTGAGCCAAAAAGTGGTGGAGCTTCAGTGGAAAAGAAGCCGGCATTGTGCTTAGTCATGTGTTTATTAGAAAGTTGCCTCGCCGACTTTTTCCTCTGCCAATTCAAAGCGCTCTTTCGAAGTCTGGCACTCAAAAAAGCACGTCTGAGTAGAAAAGAATTTGAAAAGAAAACAGTAGAATGATAAATAAAAGGAAATTTTTGAAATATTTTGTTATGAAATATCTTATAGGCTTTCTGATAAGAGATTTTTTGGGAAACTCAATGACAATTTTTTTTGCTAACGATCACTGTTACGATCGCTAACGATCTCAACGACATTACTTTGACACTTGTACAGTACTTCAGTAAACTATCGTACTCTTGCTCATCAGCTAAACTCAATGCTTATTTTTCTTTACACTGAATTTTCAATTTTCGTAATCCTACACATCTTTCTCATTTTTTCATTTGATTTTTGGGAGTTTCTCGTACAAAATCGAGGCCCCAAATGTGCAAAAGTGAAAGTGAGTGAAACATTTTAGACGAAAGCGTTTAGAATGCCGATCTCACGCGTATAAACAATCGGTCGACTGCACAGTTTGGTTGGATCGGCGAAGAGAAGGAATGAGAAGAGAAGTCAGCAGACTGCTGCCCTCGAGATTCCCCACAGACACCGAATAGCCTCTCATTTCTCGTCTATCTAAACCCACTTTTTCGTATGTCGATCGAAAAACAAACTATGTTTTTCATAGTTATAGTATCAAATCTTTAAAAAATTATTTTGTATCACTTGGTAAAAAAAAATTCAAAATCTTTAGTTATTATTGAATATTCATAAAGATTCTTTTGCTTAATTTAATAAAACTGTAGAGCTAAGCGTCAGGATTCGTTTTCCTGTTGACTTACTGAAATGTGCTTGCTTCTTTTTCAACTGCTGCTAAATCTAAAGCTGGGAAAGTCTTAAGACTCACTATAGCATCTTTCACTTCTCCATTCGACGCAAAGTCATTAACTTTTTTCGTTTCTAGATAAATGGCAGATTGGCGTTGAAATTGTAGGCTTTTTCTTGCTTATACAAAAAAGAGTGCGCATCTTTTGTGGGTTTGAAATGTTTAGAAATGAGAGAGGATCCACATGTGGCTTGCCCTTTCTCCTCTTCATTCCCAGCTTTAGATTTAGCAGCAGTTGAAAAAGAAGCAAGCACACGATAAATTTCATCGCCAACCAACTCTTCTCCCATTCCCTTTGTCACTTTTTCAAAGGTTTTTCTTAGCGTTCCTCCGTTCCTCATGTCACCGGTTGGCCTCAAAGCCCAAGAGGTACTTCAAAGCAAAAACTCTCAATTTTAGCACTTTACACTCTACTTTTTTTAAAAAGCAAAGTTTGTTCGTTTGTTAAAAGTCGAATACTCAGCAATTTGCATAAAAAAAGTGAATCATCATGTCATACGGTGCTAGAAAAAGCCACGCCCACTTACCGAAAAGTCTTTTTCCCAAGAGCCAATCCCCGTTTTTCTCCACCGAAGCCTCATTTTTCCCAATAAACCTGACTTTCTAAAGTACTTTCAAGTACTTTCAGGTACTTTTAAACTTTAAAAATGATCTTAAACTTGTAAATTTAGCTAATAGAAGCTAGATCGCAAAAATCAAGTATTTTCTAATTAATTCGGCTTATGAAAACCTACAAAAAGTAGGTGGTTAAGGGAGGTTTTTTTTGTATGGGTCGATGACGAGAAAACGAGTGAGGAGTGGGGAAGATCTGTGGCAAGAAATGGAGTTATTTCGTGCTCGGGAGTCAGTCCCGGGGCGCCTGTTTACAGCGTATTTTGCTCTCGCTTCATTTCTTTGGCTTTTCCCTTCTTCAAATCAACTCTTTCTCTCTGCCATATCCCCTTTTTTTCATCAATTTTTGCATTCACTCACATAATCTCCACTTGAAACAATCTTTTTTCGTGTTTTTGATCTGATCACCAAACTAAACGATTGCTCTATCAATCATTTGGGCTCTTGATTGAGAATTTTCGATTCTAATAGCTATAGATTCGATAGTTAGAGCTATAGATTCTATAGTTAGAGCTATATATTCTATAGTTCGATCAAGAAGCTAGTTTTTTAATGTTTTATCAAAATCTCTTAAACAATCTACTTCGAGATTTACTTAAAAACTAGTCTAGAGATCAATCAGTGC